ACACCTGGTATAGCATTGCGCACACACAAGCACACACACACACACACACAACACAAACAGCGTGAAGCTTGGAATGGCTCGGAAAAATCAGAGATTTGACATATGATTATATAATTTTCATCAAATATGTGTTTTACTGGTCCGAGCTACTTATAAAGTCTCAGTTCTCTATACAAAGCATATTTTCTAGCCTGTTGTCCCGATGTTGAAACAAACAGTTATTCACTAGTTTCTTCTCAATGCGAGTTGAGACTTCAAATCTTAATACGTGACTCTGGCACACGTAGTCTGACAGCAGCATGCGTAAGGCCTCCGATTTTTCGCGGATATTTCGAAGGACCACCATAGGCGGGAGACGTACGCACGCGTCTCCACGCACACACATTCGAGCGCGCGCACACAAACACACAGCATAATTCTTAGGAAACAATCAATTTGCCGACTATGAACAGTGCAGTGAAATGACCAAGGGCTCATCGAGGCTGTTGGAACATAGTGCAGTTCCCCTGAGGCACGTGACTTATAAAATGATGTTCAGACAAAAAATCATAATGTATTTTCATCATCATGTATTTTCGTCATCCGGAAGGTCTCGAAGAGGACCTCGCTTATGGGCTCTTCCTACAACCGTTGCACGAGGACTGCGTACTCGGCGATCTGCTTCCTCGACCGCCGCCGAAAAAGTCGACAAGGCACAATAAAGATCTATCTCCTCTGCCTTATTGACATACTTGACGACACAAACATTGGCCAGCTGCTCTAGTCGTTCATCGCGGTCAGCAAGACACCATCAGCAAGACACCGCATGGGGCACCATCTGAAGGAATGAAGGCAATGCCGGATGCAGAGAAACGCACCGAGCACGTGGACAGAGACATTTCCACTGGTGGGCCGGTGGACCAGTCACATCGCTTCCCCCTCTCCGACTCGCCACGGCTCGCTGTCGTGTTCAAACAGAAAAACGGAAAGGGTGTCCAGCATTGTTCACGGAGCTCTGAACCGGGCCTCCAGTTTGCGTACCCCTTTGCAATCGTCAACGGAAAACGGCAAACGGTTCCCGCAACATAAACAACCCTCGAGTGGTGGCCCACCACAGAAAACACCTTAGGCGGAGAGTATTTCCAGCCACAGCTAGCTCAGCGAGGTGTGGGTCGCCCCACCGCCACAACTTATAGATCGGCTTTGTGTCTCAATTCGGGCCTTGTACCCTTGGCGACTAGTCTCGACGAAAATAATTTAAACATCAAAAGGACTGTCGTTATAACCTTTACTTTATAGGTTCGGTTTAGAAGTTACGTTAGAGGTCGGATTCTGTGTTTTCGGAGCTAATTTTTCGTCGAATCCGGAGGATGTTTTTCGGAGTTTATTTTTGTTTGATTCCCATTTCTCCGCAATTCGGGGTTTAATTTCACCAGTGTGTGTTATCACAAATAAGTAAATAAATAATATTCGGGTGTAATTCAAATCGATAAAGAACTAAAACGCGCTTGTATCAAATAATATTCCTTCGGTTGGGTTTAACGTTGGTGCCATTGCCATTGTCAATACTAATTTGTGCCACGACAAAAGTTGTACACAAGTGCTGCTTCAATAAATGTCGATACCATAAAATCGATAAACTCCTGGAGGTAGTCGCTGGGAAGCTCGTATTCATCCCATCCTATTCCATCAACCTACCCTGCCGCCGCGCGAGGTGAACTGGTAAACAAGAGAAATTCCGATTGTCCCTCTTCCCCATTTTATGCAATATCGCAATGTCTATGATCAAAAACTTTCACTGTTACAAAAACACAACCTCTTCTTCCTTTAAAGCACAAATAGTATGGCCCAAACTAGAAACCAAAACCGTCTTTTTTTTATACACGACAGTACAGTGATCGTGGTCCTGAATGAACCTTGAGGAAGTAAGTGGTAAGAGCCCTTTTGCCAATAATTTGAGATTTTAAGGATAACTGTGGTGGGAGTCTCCCAGGTCGATTGACCCTATGCGCTGGTCAAACTTAATTGTAAAACACCAGTTTTTTTGTTTTTTTTTTTAATACACGACAGTACAGTGATCGTGGTCCTGAATGAACCTTGATGAAGTAAATGGTAGGAGCCCTTTTGCCAATAATTTGAGATTTTAAGGATAACTGTGGTGGAAGTCTGCCAGGTTCATTGACCCTATGCGCTGGTCAAACTTAAACACCAGTTGTTTTTGTTTTTTTTGTTTTTCTTGTTGTTGTTTTTTTGAGGGGGGGGGGGGAAAGGGGGGAGGGGGGATATTTGACGCATTCAAATTTGGAGTTTATCAGATACCGGCAGGTGTTAATCGGAGTTTTCCGGACTTATCTGAAAACACGGAGACCTAATTATAGGTTACGGAGCTAGCTAGAAGGTAAGATTTAAACACTTAATTTCCCTTCTGGCGACGTTATAAGCAACCATCTCTCATGAACAGTGCGTAGATTCTTTCTCGCAAACTCTGTAACCTGACGCCATCCCGTCGGTTCTCCCGCCACCATCAAAGAAGTGGGTAAGGATCGAGGAACTCCTTTTTCACCGGGACTGTCTTTTGTGTGCCCCAGACGTTGCTATCCTCCCTCTAGAAGATTATAGAAGATTAACCAGTCACTCAAAATTCGTACAAGAGCAGCTTCCCCCCCCCCCCTCTCTCTCTTCCGTGGTGGTACGAAATTGATGATGTGACATCAGTGCAAAGCATGTATACACGTTTGCAAGTCCGGCTTCAGGGCGCTGCCATCTTGCCTGTCTGGGGTGCGCTTGGACCAGTCATAATCCGATTACGAAGCCTTGCTAAGGCGTCGTAATCGGATTATGGCCGCTCCCGAGAGCGCACCCCACTGAGGAAGATGGCGGCGCCCTGAGACCGGACTTGCAAACGTGTATAGTTACACGCAGATCGGTAGGGTTCCATCTTTACCTGATAGGTGGCGTCAGTGTGTTCTCTTGCCGTAAACGGTCACAAACGGTCACAAAGCACTAGGTTAAACACAAACACAAATCTGTAGACCAGCCTATAACACTGCTCACATTTGTGTCAGCATGCATGCGTAAACAGCACAATTTTCAAACTCACTATCACTTTATTGCCTCTTTGACAGAGCAGTAAAAATAAAACATGAATGATATTTTGTATGATTAATAACACAGCTGGCTGTCTTGAAAAAAAAAAAAAAAGCTATTTTTGTTAGATTGATCGCCAATCTATCTGAGATTATGTCGAAGGTTTCCTGTCTCGTACGCTTGAATGTTTTTCGTTACCTATCGGTTTCTAAAACAATCCAATCAGTAATGTATCTTCAGGAGCTCAGCAATTTGTTTCAGAGGGAAAGTAGGTCGTACGTTTTGCATATATGCCGAAATGTTTCGCTTTGTAAGCCCCACGCACTGGTACCATATACTCCCATATATACGATTTTGTGTTATGTCTATTACGATACAACACCGCTAACATATTCGACTGTCAGATTCTTTAAGGCTGGGCATTTCCAAAGTCCCAATGGCCGTAAACAAAAATACAAATGGAATGTTTTTTTGTTTTGTTTTTTAATATGTCGCTTTGGTGGACTCATCTTAGGAACCTTCGCACTGCCACTGGAGGTTGAAAACAAAATAACGGCAAAAAAATCAATAAGAAGATGACATCCTTGGAAGAACGAACGCAATGAGATATATATATATGACGATTTAGGCGAAGGTTCACGGAAAAGGCAATTTTTTCCCCCGATGTAAGCCGAGGTGATTTACCATCTTGCCTGGCTATAAGTCGCCGCTCAAACCTTATATATTTATATCTACGTTTTATTCCTTCATGTACCCAATAAACATAAGAATAAAAAAAAAACTTTTTTTTTTCGACTGCGCTTTATTACGGCGATTACGGCCATTCGGCCAGGTTATTTTTCATACTGTAAATTCTCTTATTGTTTCACGTATTCCTCTAAGTGTCTCTGAAAGCGTTTATTTGATATTCGTTTTAATGTCTTTACTGGACGAATTCTTGTACACCTACGTTATACTCGTATTACAAAAACGCAGCAAAAAATAGATATATTGATTCCTTACTGTTAGTTTTTATTTGTTTTTCTAAATCAAATAATTTTCTTTTCTTTTTTTTTTTTTCCTTTTTTTTTTGGGGGGGGGGGGGGGGGTTCTACAACGTGCCTGATAAATAAAATGTATTATGCGAATTAGCCAATTTTAGTTATTTAGTTATTATTAAATCATTCACGCTCGAGCACTGACGCCCGCCGAATCCGATAGCGCTATATTTCAAGCGCCGCTTTTCAATTTTTGTTTTAGACCAAATACTTTGGCAAGGAACCCAGTGTAGAAACAAAAATAAGTGAGAGAGTGCATTCTGTTTCAGGGTTTCAAAAATTGGGTTGTGTGTGTGTTTATACAGCATAGAACTTGGTCTGCCTCACAGGGGCGACGAGTCTCCCAGCTGTAGATGAGAAATTTAGCCAGTGCGGTACAACCGCTAGCCTGGGGTCTTTAACGTGCATCACGCAGTAGTGATACACGACCGCACGCCGGTACGATGCTCATCCAGATGAGCATCGTACCGGCGTGCGGTCGTGTATCAAGATGTCAGTCCCGTGCGCACGTACGCGCTTTAGTGTGCACTGTGTAGCTATTTTGAAGCCTCATAATATCCCCCCTTTTTTTTCCCCCTCCGTTTTACCCTTTCCTGACTGTACTTTTCATTTACATATCACATCCGTACTGTTCGTGGTATTCACACCGCTACACAAAGTGCAGCCTACTGCCGTGGGCTACGCTTTGTGCCCTTTGTGCATTATGTGCATTATGAATGTACTGGAGCCTGTGTTGCCTGTGTGCTCCAGTCTGCAGTGGTAGATTTCGCTACTTCCGTTTGAAATGGCTTATCCGATTTTCCTCTCGTACTGCTTTTGTCCGCTTATACGTTTACTATCCCACCTGTGCCCCAGAATGACACATGCGGTCGTGCTAGCTAACGTAGTTGCTCAGCTGCCGATGTATGGAGGAACCGCCACCTTCAGACAAGAACGCGAACGCAGTCCGACAACACTGTATCGAATTACCACGGCGATAAGGGAAAAGTTCGTAATCGTGAAAAAAAACACTCTACCAGTCACGGAAATGTTGCATTCCTCGTGATTTTACAGCAAACGCATTCGTTGCATCAGGTAAATCGTGGTTTTTGGTTCGGTGAAACTCGTAGTCTGCCGAACCCAAAGATGCGAACCCTTGCTCTGTCCTGCCAAACTTGCCCGACTCGTCGGTGTGAACTCGGGTGCGATGTGTAGAATGACGCACGACGCTTCTAGATTTTTCTATTTTAGCGGGCGCATCCAACAACCCAATTTAATGGTTTCCTCGCTCGCGATTTTTTGACGTTGCAGGTCATCCGTTGAAGTTACGTGAACCACCCCCCTCAGTCAGACCTTTGAGCGCCGAGACATCGCAGAATGGGCGACGAGAACACAGAAGGACCTTCGACCACCGCACCCCGAGGTTTTAGCGAGGTTATCGTGAGTGTGGTCTCAAGTCGTCTTTATTTAAAGCTCAAGCTCGTCTTGCTTCTCAGGGCGTAAAAATAAAAAGAAGGGCTGCAAGAAGAAAAAAAAAAGAGTGAAAGAAACGTGTGCAACTGTATCGTTTCATTTTTTGTTGTCCAGAATCACTTATCCATTCACAAGATTGAAAGCCTGCTATGGTTCACACGGATGTGCACCGTCGTTTTCACACTACTCTACATCATTCCGATACTTGGGTAAGTTCGAGCTTTCGGTAATGCCTCACAAGGCCGCGAATACTTCTTGATAAATCTAGCTCGACCTGTATTTTATTGATTTATTAATACCTCGAAGGCACTATCATGGGCCATTACGCAAGGAATAAGCTGTTGAAAATTTGGAAGGAAAGAAAGTAACAAATACACTTAAGAACGACAAAAGTTACACTCAAGAAAGGTGTATGCATATATAAAAACAAACCGAAGTTGTACATATAAAAATCAACTAGGAACATATCACTTCAGCAGTATTAGAACCGCAGAGCCTAATTGCACAAAAGTGACATGGTCAAGAAGTCAAATTTGGGGGTTTTACGTGCCAAACCAACGATGGGCATCTGGCACGCCCCAGCGGAGGACTGAGGATTAATTTCGACCACCTGGGGATCTTTTGACGTGCAACCGAAAGCTCGGTTACACGGCGCCTTCTCCGCAATAAGCCTCCGTCATATTGCGGGCACCTCGGCCGGGATTCGAACACGTGACATGGTGCCCTGACACGCCGTTTTAGAGGTAAAGCAGCAAAAATCAAAGGACGGCTCCTTATCCATGCTCTCTGCACTCACAAATAAGGGGGTCTCGTGTTTTCTTCATACCCCAAACGACGTGCTCGTAGACTATAAATGTTTATTGCGATGCAGGTGCTATTTTAAAGATATCCAGGCTGTTATAATTAATGCTAAAGTATTTGTTGGCATGCCAGAAATTTTTTAGTGGTTTCCGATGTAGGCTTCCCGAAAATTGACCGCATTCCCTCACAAAAAAAGAATGGTCGTTAGAAAGCTTAAACGGCTCAAGCAACCCGGTCGGACTTAGCAGGACGACCTTGTGCCGAAGACTGACCCCCTAGGTGTCGCGAGTTGCCACTCTATTGAAAGGGTGGTATTGCAACTAATGCAGAGGTCGCCGACTGTAAACGTGGTAACTTTCAGTGCCATGGAACGAATGCTGTGCGCTGTTCGACTCCTTTCTTGTCGTGTCCATCTTGTCTGCTAGGATTTTGCCGTAATATACTTTTCCAGCATTTTTTTAAATTTGTTTTCAGTTTTCTTCAACTTGTTCTTACTGACAATTGCGAATATTGTACAGAGCAAAAGCAAAAAAAGATGGGATATTCTTATGAGCCACTGCACGTTGTTTCTCGCCTAGTTTGCCAAACATTTAGAGAAAAAAAAAAAGAACATTTTGAAAGCAGACGGCAAGCTGAACATCTGTATTCGTTTCTTTTCAGGGCCAACCCTTACACTTGTTACCAACGAGCACTGATCAGCAATGCTGCGACGAGCGCCTTGCGGTTACACCAGCGCATGCCGACGATTCAGCTGAGTCGGATGTTCCTCAGCCAGCTGCTGATTGAAGACAGCTGCCATTATCTCTTCTTCTCCCTCATCTTTCTCTTTGCTCAGCCCATGACATGTATCCTTGCCAGCATCGCATCGCTGACATTTCTGGGGGGATCGGTGAACGAGCGTGTCAGCATGTCACAGTTAGGAGCACATGGAGCGAAAGCTCGCACTGCAGAACCCTGGGATCAATCTCGACCCCTGCCCTTTCAATCCAGACGAGCGTCGTACCACTACTGCGTGATGCACGTTGAAGACCCCAGGCTTGTGGCGGTACTGCACTGGCTAAATTTCTAGTCTACGGTAAAGACGTCAGATGCCCACTGTGGCTGACCGATTTCCCGCTGTCAAACGTACATGTGACACAACTAGTCGTACGAGAAATGGCTGCCTCATTTAAAACACTCATGCAGGGCAGGAGGGCAGGAAAAGAGCAGGGGAGTGTCTGTTCAGCATGCTCCGTATTTCAGCGTCCTGCAAACCACTTTTTTAATTAGTTAAGAGTCGTACCTCACACTCTGTTTCGCCTTGAGATGTGCCGCAGCAAAGGCTAAAAGCAGAGCCGTTTATACTGAGAGAGTTTGGCCGATGGGCGGAGCTTGTTGGCCGCTAGAACCAGCGGATTTCGCGATAACACAATATGGCGTTACTTCTTTGTCTTGTTCATTCCTGTGAAATCGCGTAGAGTTCCTATGAGGCAGATCCACAATATGGCGGACGGAAGTAGTCATCCCCCGGTTGTCAGACTACGCTGCTGTGGTTGTCAGACTGCCGAAATCTCCTTAAGAAGGCCAAACTCTCTCAGTATAAACGGCTCTGGCTAAAAGCGCGAACTAGTAGCTTTGGCAGTTACACTTGCTTCGCGAGGGTTCGTGCAGCCAAGGTGCACCTTTAAGCGAGGACCTCGCACTTGTGGCCTTTGCCAAGGTACGTATTTTGGTAAGACAGCATGTAGAGTGCTCCGACTTCAACTGCTGGGATAGGACTGCTTCAAGGCTCCCAATTTTTTTTAGCAAAGACCCGACGATTCGGCTCCAAGTCCACTGTACTCCATTTTACGTCACAATTTACTGCAGTAGATTCTACGAGCCATCTCGTCCGATTCAGTGCTGGGAACGTATCCCACAATGATGTGTCGTGCGTCACTGCCCTCTACCCAGAGGTCACGTGACGTACAGAATTGAATTGACTTCGATGATTCGTAGCGTGCGTTGCGGTCGGTCACAAAGCGAAACAAATTATAGCTGCAAGCTTTGCATCTCTTGCCAGCCTCTTTCAATAGGTTCCGAGCGAGTGGTTCACAAATTGGCTGTGAAGTAGGGTTTGTCGGGAAGACGTCTGTCCAACGTTGCGGTGGAAGCCTTGACCCTCGTGGAACGATACTTCAGTGGTGCTCCTGCCTGTATTTCTCTTTGCCCTCCTCCACTCTGCTAGCTTCACGCTGACTTTGCTGGACGTGAGTATGCCTCTTTACATCTTTTTCTGTAAATAATGATGACTTTAATTCCCTCCCGGCAATTGTGTTCACCCGTGACGAAGAGTGTGTTTGAGTATTGCTTAGCGTACTGGATTTGTCGGCTGTTGGCAGTGTACTCCCCAAGATCGAAGAGGTTTGTGAGGTTTCTGTGCTCTGTTTCATAAGTTGGCGACAGTCTAAGAACCGGATAGATCTCCGCTTCCTGCACATGCTCATTGTTTTAGGCTGGGCTTTGGCTGCGTGCACGACAAAGTGTTAAAGGGGTCAAGACACGGCATAACTAAAATGACATAACTTTACTGGTAGCACCCAATGTATGTTCCTATAATCCTGCTAAATTCGTTTTAAAAATGGTACGATAGTTTCGTGGATAAATCAATTTATATGCGGTACCCTCGGATCCGTCCCATTTGAAAAGGCCGCCGTGGCCGAAGGGTTGGCAACGTCACCAGCCAACCTCGTTGCGTTCCCTTGCACGCACTCGCAGACTTGGGTTTCTTGGCGTCTCGAGCTTCAGCTTCCTCGTTTACCATCCGCGTTTTGAGCATGCGGTTTGCGACGATTATGGCTACAGCATCGGTCACTTCGTCGAGGTCTTCGACACTGATCGCAGCAGCCATGAGAGTGGTTGTGATCGAGAGATGTTGGAAGCTGGTCATTTTGACTCCGACCCGCTGGTGACCAGCTCCAGTGACGGCGAGTCACGGACAAACTCGCCATGGTCGCCGTCTTCCGGTACAATCTCGGACGCATGCGAAATGGCACGTCAGAGGGCTGGGGGCGAAAGCGAGATTAGTGTTGGTACCGCGGCGAGGCGCATTTGGGCGATTGTGGGGGCACCTATAATGAGCATTCATGGTCAGTGTTGCATGTTCGCCAAATGAAAATGACCAAATTCGTAAATTTATTACTGATATTACTAGAGCTCTAGGAATTGCGAAACTTGGTGTATATACTAAGTAGCCTATGAGCATTCCATTTAAAGAATAATCTATTTGTTCAATTTTCGTGTCCTAGCGTCTTTAATAAAAGAAAAAAATGCTCGGGCTCGATGCGGAGCATTTTCTGGGTTCTTAACCAGGGTGTCTAGCGACCGGGAAAACCGGGAATTGTCAGGGAAATTTTAATTAGCGGGAAAAATCAGGGAATTGTCAGGGATCTGGACAAAAAGCGAGCCCAGTCAGGGAAAATGAGCTGGAAAGGACATCGAGTGCCCTGAGCAAAGACTTGAGGACTTGGGGGCAGAAAAATATGCTCACCCGATGTAAAGTGTGCTATCCGATGCAAAGGGAACAGCCGACAAATCCAGTTTAAGCCTTGGACTGGATTGGATTGAGGGCGCGACACTAGGCTAAATCCAGTTAGAGCTACTAGATAACAAATGGGAAAGTTGCAGACCCCAATCCAAGCCTCAAGCCGAAAGTAGCCAGAAGTGCTCATCTGGCGGCCATGCCAGCCATATGGCCATGCTGCCATTCGGTTATTGACGTGTGTGGTTGACCGTCGTGTTTTCATCGTGCTTCCGGAAGTGGCCCCTTCACTGACAATGTTGGCGGCAAGAAAGTGCTCGTTTAATTCGGACTGGACGAACCCAAATATTTCAGAATATAAAAGTTTGATTTTAAGCCGATGCAAAGTGATCCTCACAGTACTCATTCCTCAATGCCTTGTGTTGTAATGGTCTTATATATTTAACCGCCTTTACAGTGGTCAGGGAATTTCACCTGAAATTGTTAGGGAAAACCTGGAAAAGTCGGGGAATTTCAAAGTAATAATTCGCTAGACGCCCTGTTAACCTGTCGCCGAACTATTGTGTACAGTGCTGTCAAAGTTACTGGCACGAGGGTGTGGCTTGATTTCGCAGTTCATTTGTAAGTGTTGTCGCACAAGTGATGAAGCTACGCCCTTGTGACAGTAACTTTGACAGTGACGCACACTATGGTCGGCGATAAGTCAAGAACTCAGTAGGTGCTCCGCCTTCGGTGCAAGTTTGCTGCCATTGAAAACATTTCATCGCACGAATCGCCCAAAACCCAGCAGAGAGCAAAGAGTGTGTGCTGGAAGTGGATCTTCTATTGAATTCTTGAGGCTGGTTCGCACACTTGCATTTGCTTACAACCGAGTTCTTGTGATCTCTAATGACAAGAGGGCACGCTGGCTACCCTGGAACTGCATTTCACTACAGCGAAGGCTGTGCAGTATTTGAGAGATCAAACTGACATACTATCCGTAAGAATATAATTGTAACATTGTCAAAGGTTTTAAAGGGTCACTTCAATGAAATTTGAAGTATACCCGCCGTGCTCAGAAATTGACTGAATGACCCGCAATATGCGTAAATGACAATTGCACGTTTGTATTTTGAGCCTGATGGCTGTATTTTTCGTTATAAACAACATACTCTGGCAAGCGCTCGGAGAGCAGCCAGCGGAGAGCATGTGACATCCACCGCAATCGTGACGTATATTGTCTCAAGAGAAGCAAAGCTGCGGCGTGGCTATTGTCGAGAGGATGTCCTACACTTCGTTTCACCTTACAACCGAGCGCAACAGATGCTGCGAGCCATCGGAGCCAATTTAAGGCCGTGTGAGTGTCACGTGCCCTTAGAGAGGGGGCGCAGCAACGCACAGAAAGCGTATCACGGGTTACGTCCATAGAGCGGGATTGGCTAGGATAGCTCGTAGCATCCACTGCGTCCGGACATAAGGTGAAGCGTAGTATGACCGTTCCAGCCACCGAAGCAGCCGAAGCACGCCAGCGATCGGGCCACTGCAACTAACCCCAAAGCTGCTTTTGTACGAATTTTGAGTGGCGGGTTAATCTTCTATAATCTTCTAGAGATACAGTAGCGGCATCCGGGACAAACAAAAGAGAATCTTGGGGAGAGGGGAGTTTCTTCTTCCCCTCTTCTCTCGTAATGGCTGGCAGCGAGACAGTTATCGTCACTACCTCTCAAGGTTCCTAGACGAGCTTTGCAAACGAAGCGCTAGCGACATCCACTAGGTGCTCTTTGCTAATCGTTAAATTTGTTTTAAAATTCCTTTTCATTTCTTTTTCAACAAGAGATTGGTGTGTCTGATGTGATACTGCTCCCTTGAACACGAATAGACCAAGAAATAAGCGCTGAAATTTAGTTGTAGTATCCCTTTTAAAGTCGGTAAAGAAAGAACAATGTGCAGGAAAAATAGAAAATCTCTGTATGTTGCGAGTGTTCCACCGCTATTCAATAGAGGGCACCACTGATAGATCACGAGAGGTTATAAAGCTCTTGGTCATAAGCAGCCCGTCACCGAACATAAGTATGAAACAATATGCAATGTGATGTTTAAATATTGCTGCGCAGAAGTTTGGAGGCCGCTCCGGCCTCCTGGGCACCTGGCTGGTCCTGTTGCTGGAGCACCAGAGCAACAACATCCTGCGGCTGGTTGCCTTCACCGAGATCTTTCTCATGCCGCTCACCATCTTCAGCTTGCTCTCGTAAGTCGGACTCCTCTCTGCAAGGCGTCGTAAATGCCGGTCCGTCTTTTTGCGTGCCTGCAAGTCGAAAGGGCCTCCGGAATAATCGGGTTTTGTCGATTGTGTTGGGACACAGTGGTCGCAGCAGCCTGGTGACGCCGTTTGTGTACTACCGTTTCCTGAGTCTGCGCTACGCCTCGCGTCGCAGCCCGTACTCCAGGTGAGACGTCTCGTTGCATTCATTTGCTTTGAAACCGCCAATAGGCCCTTGTCAAAATTCAGTGCCATCTGGTGGTTCTTACTTTCGATGAGCTCATGGCGATCGTGTAACTATTTCGTCGGGCGCCGTCACTTTCGCACGTCAATGGTGGCTCTTCGATCACCTCATAATTCTTTTTCGATTTGTTTCTGTTTCGATGGTGTGAATATTGCAACTGACCAGTATAAAGCGGCAACCTATAAGCCCCTTGACTAAATATCTGCCATGAAATGGCTTTTGAACCAAACTCATGCCCAGAGACTGATGGACCACGGTCCAAAATGGATGCTAGCGCAGCCATTGTATTTGATTTGTGCGTCGTGTTGTGTCGACGTCTCGAATGTAAGGGGCCTCAAACATCATCCGTTTGGTAGTACAGTCGAATCTCGTTGATTCAAATTTGAGGGGGACCGAAAACTTGTTTGAATAAAGCAGTTTGAATTGCGGGGAGTTTCCTCCCTTAGAGAAACATAGGATGGGACCTGTAGGTATGTTTGAATTATCCGCAAGTTTGAATCAAGAGAGTTTGATTTAACGAGATTCGGCTGTGTCTTCAACGTTTTCCTTTGCACAACCTCAAGGAGGTTGCCGTAAGTTTGGCTCGTTTGATCTCTATGACAGTATGCTGAATCGCGCGTTCCCGTTTGCTCTCTGCAGCGCAGGTGTGGGGACGGGAAGTTCAGAACCGGCCATCTTGGGCCCGTGTAAATCTGCCAAGTGAAGCGTTGCGGAGGCTGGGCGATTGCGTGCGAAAAGACACGTTTCCAACTCACTCGCCATCATTTGCCTAAAAAAAGATTTTAAAACCCCGTGCAAATCGTCATGGCTCGTGGAAATGTTTGCGAAAGCGCAACGCCGCGGGAAAAAAGTCGCCACTAGTCGAAGGCAAATCTTAGTCGGCATGCCCAGGCATGCCGAAGTGCTACATCTCTGTGCCTCTGCACTTGGAGACCGATCAAAAATAGCTTTCAAAACAAAGCAGCACCCCATGGAATCAACGTCATGAGGGCAACCCCCTTCCCTTGAATTAAGTATGGGTTCAAACCACATCGCCACCTTTGAACAATGGAACCAGGGGCATCGGAAGTGTTCGAGAGATGGGAGAGGGAGAGTAGAAAGGATTCCCATTCCCTTCTGCTGAATTGATCGCTAGAAATAAATGTCGGGAAGGTAAAGATCGATCGTTGTCGCCACCTTCTCCCCTCCCTCTGTTCCATCACCACTAAATCAATCTGGTTTCTGGCCTGCGAGTGGTGCATGTTACAAATATGTACGGTCATCAGAGTACACTAAAACGCTCCCCCAGAGTCTCATACACTTTCACGCACGTTTCGCTCTCGAAGATTTCCCAAAGGGTTAGCACATCCACACGGCTTCGATTCTTGATCGGTATCCAAGCATGGAAGGCACACAGACGCAGCTCTTTGACTAGCCAAGGCATAATTTCTTATTACGCCTCAAGACCTGCGTTTGACGAGTTGTGCCTTTTTTCTAGAGTGCTGCGTTTTCGTAAAAGCTCTGCAGGTTCTGGAAGGTAGCTACGAATGTTACGCAAAGGTTTAAAAAGAAACCTTTTGGGCGAACGACGTTGAATGAGCAGAAAAAGCGTTTTTCAACACCTAGCCACCCAGTCTGCAACGCTTCACCCTGCAGACTTAAGCGGGCCCAAGATGGCCAATTCGGAACTTCCACTGGCTGCATTCGCAGAACGGGGAAGTGCATTCCAGCAAAGTTGTCTTAGAAATCGGTATTCGATACGGATGCCATACTCTGAAATGATGGTAGTGATCACAGCCGCCAGACTGAACTTCGCAAACGTCTCGTCGGCTGGTGTCGCAGTGGCCTTTCTGCTGAGCACATGCCTCCTGCAGCTTACATTTCGCAGCATCGAATTACGACATCACATGCAAGCCACTTCCTGGCCAGCAATGTTCTGTTACACTAGTAGGTGCTTGACTGGGCAAATGTATTGCGCTACAGTGTAGACCGCATATAACGTCTGTCGCGGGAGTCTCGAAAATCCGCACTATTCGCGACTCCAGCAAAACGGACGCCACCAAGCGGGAAAACCGGGAACCAGCCGGTCCAGGTCGCTCCGCGCCCCTCCGCGTCTCTTGTGGCTTTCGCGGACACGTGTTGTCGGCGCAGTGGCGAACAACGTAATTTGACGAAGGTTCGAAAATTTCTCAAGTTTGCCTGGGTGTTCATTAGTGTGGTGAAGCCTCAGTAGATGGTTTCCTTCCATCACGTGTTTGAAAGCCCGTTTACTCCACAACACACGGTCGCCTGCTTTCGATTTCTTGGATGGGGAGGAATCACGGGAAAACGTTTTGATTTCTTGTCTGCCTCGATTTACATTCCAAGTGACGACTACTTGGTAACTGATAAGGAACTTCTTTGTAAGGATGTAGAACAGGGGACTGAGGACGACAGACGAGGCATTTCACTGGAGGGAACATCAATGTTGCAGTCAAGTGAATGGGGAGGTTCGATAGCTGCTTTTCTTGAGTTTGGTTGTGTTCGATTAGCTTCAAGTTTGAGCCACCCACGCCGGTCGGTGCGTTGGCTATTCATCTTGGCTGCTTTTCGTCGAAAAAGTATCTGGACCACTCTGAAGGAGTTGGGCTGATTTCGCAATTACTTGATTCAGGAAAACCTGCTTGCTCCAAATGATGAATGACGGAAATTTTCTGTTTTCAAAAGGTGGGGGACGCGTCTCGCAACGTTAGAAGCTGTTACGGCATTTTGATCCATCACGACTCCAATATTTATATTATACCCCCGTCGAAGCCAGCAGCAATATATGTCTACATTGCTCAGGTTGACCGGCCACGAAAAATACTTATTTTCTCCGTTCAGGATCTGAAGCAAAGTTCAATGCGGAGAGGTTCTGCGTGAACTCCAGTGAAGACTCTCTTCAGTTTGTCTCCGTGCTGCCGGTTAGAACTATTTGGCTAATTGCAGTAGTGTATGGAGGTGGGCTAGTCGGTGATGCATTGTAAACATAAAAATAAAACGGCGCAAACGAACACAAGGACAAGTAGAAGAAAGGATACAGACAGCGCTGTGTCTGTGTCCCTTCTTCTACTTGTCCTTGTGTTCGTTTGCGCTGTTTTATTTCTATGTTTACTATTTGGCTAAGTTTAAGTAGTATCTCTCTGTCTGTCAAATATACTTTTATTCGGCAGTTCACCTAATAGCTAGTCAACTAAGCTCATATTTCAACCCGAAGAATATACTAATATTGCGTTAGTGGGACCATACGTAACATAAGACATACCCGCTCGTCAAAATGACCTCTCGATTGCTACGAAACCTGAATTTAAATACGAGTATCAGCTGCTTAGTGGGGTGCCGGCGGGTTAACATGATCCTTGGCTCAAGAAGCGCTTGCTTAATTTTCGTAATTTTCGTGCAGCCTGTGTTGTTGACCGAGCAGACCACTGGAGCTGTTTCTGAAACGCGGATACGCACAAAAGCTCGATTTCGCGGACAGATTAGTCGGATGGTCGAGGCATGCGAGTTGGCTGAAAATTACTGTTGGCGGAAGAATTCTGCGGTCATTGCCGCTTTTCTTAGATGATCAAAACTGATTAGTATATTACCGACTCTCCAGAGCCCATATAGTTTCGGTTTTGAACGAAACCTCCGAAACGACAGTTTGACATGAAAAGAACAAAAAACACCGGGGAAACAAAACTATGCTCTGCGAGTTTATGTGCACCGGCTACACTTAACCGTCTCAGTTCAAATAGCTATAAAATTGGGCATTAAACAAAGGAAAGTTTGTTAAATTGAACGCGCCACCTGTTCAGGCGGCCCGGCCGAGCCGGCGCGACCTGGACTCAGCCGCCATGTTTGTTCGGTGGTGGCGCCCCCTATAGGTCGCTGGAGTCGCGAATAAGCGGTACCGCGCTATAACCAAAACATCAATTTTTCGGGGCCAAAATACATGCCATCAGACAACTTACCTTTGTAAAGAAATTTATTTTATGTTAGATGAAAAATAAAGCTTAGCTTGAGGAAAGTCTTTATTTCACCAGACTAGTACACTTCTCTCTCAAGTGTGTCACACATTTTCAAAGAAATGAGCGACTTTTGCCTGGTGCAGCCTTTTAACGGCGTCGCGGGTTGCGGACGGACGTTGCGAGCGTTCAGGATTGCTAACCCTAATCACTTTTCTCCGGTGATAAAAACGCATGAAAATTTGCATCCTGTATACGGTACGTGCCAGTAATACCTTCAACTTGAGCACAGGCATGAACTGCTCCAAATAAAAAACCCGGGCGATGTTCGAAAACACAAACGCTTAGAAATCACCACTGTAGTCGAAGTAAACAAACACGACGACACGGGCGTTTCTGCCGTCTTGAGTGTGCCACCACGACATTGCCGCACGAGTAGGTGGATCTTCCCTTCTAGTACATGCTGGGTTATCATAGCGACACACAACGGAAATTCACAGTCAAGGATAGCGCTTTTACGCGTAACGGAGCTTCCACCATGCCGTCTACGTCGACGATCACAACCGACGCCATGTTTGCGGATAGAAGCAGCCGGCCCGCGACCGGCATGCAACGCGCGCGAACACTTCTCCTCGACCTGCGATTGGTCTGTCGTTGCGGTTGTTTCCAATGCAGCGGAGGGATGCTTGGTCATGGACGCATGCACGTGATCGACACGTGCATGCGTCCCTCCGTCGCTATGGCAACTGAAGCCTCTCTCTTCGCTTTCCCCGCTTCTTCGAGCAACCTCCTTGTCCCGCGAGTGCCGCTTGCTGCTCGCGCCATTATCTAGTGTCGCACAGGGAAGCGTGCTCGCTGCGCCGGTGATCGGCGCGGTTGCCGGGCTGTTGCAGGAACCGCTCTATAACCGGTATTTCCCTTCGCGTGCCTGCATTTTAAGCGGTATGTAATTACATGGAGTTCTATGGGAGGCGAACCGGTGGTTTAAAAAAGCCGTGTTATACCCGGTCCTGCACTATAAGCGGTTACGTTGTAAGTGGTCTATACTGTACTGAAAACGATTTTGGTGGGAGTTGCAAGCCGTTTCGTGACAAAAGAAACATTACGGTCTGTCCATCATTCAATCTACCCAACAATCGGCGAGTTGTCGCACTAGTTGCGAGAATAAAGAGTATTCACCGGATGCCATATTTGAGGGCGATGCTTAGAGCGCATGCTCAGAACGAGCTCACATTAAAAGGTTGGCGAGTTCGGCAATCTTGATGGTGCAAAATGCATGTCACAAAATAACTGTGGAAGTGGCACATACAAATATGACCGCCAGTGAATACTCCCTATATGTGCACCTCATTGTGTTCGCCCTATCACCCACATTTCACAAAGCAAATTGTTTGGCCTTCTCTGAGAGTTAGATTTTGGCCTTCTGAGGATTAAATTTTGTGCCAACTCCTTCCACGACATCTAGCACATGAAGAGTTAAACTAATGCAAGTTGCATGTGCATACGAAGCCCCCGGATTTGTTTTATGCCAGTATTTAGGTCCTGGCCGATAATTGTATGGGGTCCCTCTAACTGTCACCGTAACGAGCACTGAACACAAGCAGGAATGTTAACAGTCGTCGTGTAAACTCTCCAATGCAGGACCGTGTTTCACGAGCTGCGACTGGTGACGGAACACTATGCCTCGCGACCGGGCTGCCCCGCATTCCTGAGCCGACTTCTCTACAAGACCATTGGCTTGATCTGCCAGCTTTCTCCACCCGTGCCCCAGTGAAGCCATGATACGAAATATGTTGGACAGTCCCGGGCCCGACGTTTTTAACTCTTACCAGTTGACAAGCTCCGCAAGAGTGTCGTTCGAAAACGGTCCTTCCCCTTTACTGGTTTCGTCGCTTCTTTTCATATGGGCGGGGCCGATAGCGCAGCGAGTGCCACCGAGCGGATGTGCCGGGAAAAAGCACCGGGCACTCTGGAGAGCTTGTCAACTGACTTCGACCTAGTAACGTTGCCCGGGCCAGCGTTGTTACGACGCGTAGCCGGTGCCCAGCCGGCCGTCGTCTGCAGCGCAGTCTATTTTGGTTGTTGTGCACGTCTGTTTGGCAAACGATGAAACTGTGTGATGTCCGTCTCAACTTTCAGATCTTTTTATTTGCTCTCGGACGAGGCGATGGATGTGTCAGCACAGCTGCAAAGGAACAATAAAGGTGGCGTTGTGTTTTTGGACGATGCAAGTTGCGTCTCTCGGGGGAACGACTGTGCAACATATGTTGCCACTGTAATGGAGCTGTGTGGCAGATTTAAGAAGAAAAAGCGGGCTTGCCTGCATGAACTTGGTGACTTCGTCAAGGCTCCAGTCCCGGTCACCCTGGTTGTCGGCTTGATCGTCCACACAGTCGTAAACAAGGTCCATCCTCTGCAATTTCAGGCACACCGCCGATTGCCGAGAGTTTTGCGCCATTAGCTATGGAATGGCTAATGAAATATGATCTATAATCACTGGCAGGGTGAGAATGGCAGGGAGGAGCTTCAGTCATTCCGCCTCCAGCAGAACGTCCTACCTTTGATAATGCTTCGGCAACTTGTGACCCTCGAATGTGCACATGCAACCAAGGCATGGCAATGTGGAGTGCAAGTTCGTCTGCTTCTTTTACAGGGGTTGTTCTGATGTTAGAACGACGAGCTCTGATTGGCTCTGATTGTAGGATAGGGGGTAGACCTCAAAGCAAGCTGCCTTGAGGTCTACCCACTGCCCTTCAATCCGAGCCAATCGAAGCTCGGTGTTTTGATGTCACCACAACCCCTGCAAAAGAAGCAGACGAACTTGCGCTCCACATAGACAACGAGTATATGTTGCAGGCCCCACATTTGAAACAGGTGCCCTGATGTCTTCAACCTTGTCAAGGAGTAGGTCTGCTCTGAATTTGACATTGAATATCAACGGTGCTCTCGTCTGCACTGCGTCTATGAATACTCATGACTGAATACGTTGAGACTCCTCGTTATGTCAGTGTGTATGTACTAGATGCCTAATGATATCTGATACTTTTCCCGACACAGAAAATGTCGCAGGATCCAAGCGAATCTTGGGTTCTCCTTTGGACCGTCGACTGTGATGAGAACGACAGGGAAAGTTTTTGGTGGGCCACTTTGTAGCGAGTTTGGTGCACAAGAATCCTACCTCCAGCGCTGTTATAATAGCACCACAGGTAGACTGCTTGTGTCAGAGGGCAGGACAAGTTCGACGTCTTCATCGTTACGATTAACTACAGCGGACGTCACAAGCCATCCTAGCCAATCCGGCGCTGTATATGTATTGTATTAGCTTTCGTCCCGCTTGTCACTTCGCCCTTGCCGAAGGTTATATTATGCGACATTCGCATGGCTTTGGATTAGCTTCGATGGCTCGTAGCACCCGCTGCAGTCCGTCGTAAGGTGGAACGGAGTATAAAACAGCTCGGTTAACATGTTTATCCATGGCTGCGAGACTTACGCGGCTGTCGTCGTCACACAGCATGTCGAATAGCTCCGACGCAGGTACGTTCGCAATCCTGTACCGACTGTGGAGACAGCCGGTCACAATGTTCTCCAGCTGCAAAGGCAACCCCCCCCCCCCCCACATCTGAGATCTGGTTCCTTGCTGCACTGAACCCAGGAGCCACTCACATCAATATCCATTCTCTTGCCGACGCAGATGACGCCCTCTCTCCTTTCGACTCCATTGTCATACTTTCCTGTAAGGGGGCAATAATGGAGTTTCTCCGCATTAAGGTGGCGTCGGAATTACATGTGCAAAACTTCTTTAGAAGCTAGACTACCGTTTTTGGAACAGCATGCCACAGACCACAATATGATTATTTGGGGTGTGCAGGGTCATCGAAAAGCATACGGTGAATAGATCTATTGCTATATTACCCAAGCAGCAAGGAGAATGCAGGGATTGGTGTTCCACATGCCCCACGTACTGGCCTCAGCAGTACTAACTTTTCTAAAGCAAATACCTAAAACAAATGGCACCTTGCACGCGCGTTCGTCAGCGCCCTTTCTTTTGGTTTAATCGAATCTTTCAAATGGGGAAGGCGTGTGTGTGTGGCGCGTGGAGCACCAATCCCTGCATTCTCCTTGATGCTTGGGTAATATAGCAATAGGTTTATTCTGCACGTCCCAGACGATGGCAAATAACATAAAATATCTGTTCCCGTTGCCACCGAAGAATGTGCAGTAATCAGTGGCAAGGGGGAAGGTACTACATGAGACATCTCTTAAAAAGGAGGTCCATCGGTTTAGTTAACTATTGCTCTACATGGCTTGCACTGATATCGACATCAGGGCCGATGCAAATGACCTTGTGTATGCATACATGCACCATTGAATGTTTTTCTCTGCAAGAACAAGTAGAAATAACCGTTGGTATGGTGCAATGACAAAACAGCCAGGTATTGGGTTTGTTTCGTTTTGTCGAATCATTGGCACACATTTCATGAACACGTTTTGTAGAGATAGCGACGCTTCATGGAAACTTGTTTTGTCGACACATGCTCCTGCAACATTTTTTTTTTTTTTCTAAGCAGATTGAATTGGATTACTGGCTTCATTTTGTGTGCTGGAAGGACACTGAAAGCGGACTTGCCCAGGCAGCACCTCGCTTCACTCTGGAAAAATTTAATTTAATTGCGGGCCCAAATTTGCACCAGGCCTCAACGGAACTGCCAAGGGTTCGACAAGCTAGGCAACCGTCCTGACGACTGCTACCAGGGCAATGTATGCAGGAAAGTTAAAGGGGGCGTCAATGGAAACAAATTGCCAATGACACAACCTGTCGGTGAAATGCCGTTCGACGAACTGATTGTCACCGCCCTTTTACTTATCTGCTGTGGCAAACCTCTCGCTAAACAATCGTCTCGCATGATGAGATGACATTGTGGAAGCAGTAGGATACTGTGTACACATTATGCAGAGATGCTTGAACTGACTGCAGATGTCGGCCATTAGGTCATCGAATGGCAGCTCTTGTGGTTGGGTGCAGGTCCCTAGAGCGACCGCCAAGAGCAGTGCCGCAACGACGGACCACATGTCTCGCCTGGTCCCCCCCGGTCCCCCGTTTCGTGGGATCAGCTGGCAGCCGCAGGAATCGTGGAAACAGATCCCTCTTTGTCCTCCAAGCACGCGCCATCGAGCACGTGCCTGGCGTAATATCTTTTCTCTTGGTTTAGGAGGCTTTTAGGAAACGCTACTTTTTCCGGGGTATCCCCGTGAAGGGCCTTCGATATTTTATGAACGTCCGAACTCTTGCTCAAGAGTTCAAGCGGCGGCCTTGACCTGTAGTCTTGCTAATGTAAAAATAAAATAAAAAATAATGATAATAATGAAGAGATTATTAGGGCACGAGGTGTTGAAGTAAAATACATGCTGCAAAATGTTTATTTTACAGCATTTGTTCGGGGTATTCAGTATTTCGACACGAATGAGGACAAAGCGGAAAATTAATGGCCATGTTAAGACGAAGCCAGAATGTCGGCTCAACACACTGGAAGTTTAGCGGTTCAATTTAGGTGCGCCACAGGTTGTATTTAGTGCGCGGCACATGGCCGTTCTTCGGGCCGAGTTTTCCCAGTTTTAGTGGTTTTAGCGGTTTTTTGCCGCCGCAGAAGCTGATTCTAAAAGCTAGAGACTCCCCATTCCCGCGATGTTGACATCCAAGACGTTCGTGAAGAAAACTAAAACGGGGAACGTTCTCAAAGTCGTGCGGGAACACTACCTCCGGGATGACATTTGGTGCGGTTCGAAGCTGTGCAAGAAATGCAAGCACGAAGCGCCCATCCTGGAGATCTCCCCGAGGAGCCCCAGCGAGCTGTTCACTTCGCCCCACTACCTCGTGCCGGACACAAACGTTGTCATCCACCAAGTAAGAACGTTCCGATCGAACGCCCGCAGTTCACCTCACACGCGTTTCGCGCCTCCCATTTTTGGTACGGTCATTACAGCAGCAACTACGTGATCCTCTTCGGTGTTGTGTCTCGCGTCATTGGCACGCGATCGGACTGTGAAAAATTCGACGAAATTTTAAAGTATAAATAAATCGTCATCTCAGTCAATTGTGGCGTCCCCGGCGAAACGTCAGCAATGCAGCCATCGATCTAATTCGGGACCTTTTCGAACAGCTCAGATCTTCGGCGGAAGCGTTCCTGCGTGAACCTTTTTGCTACACGATAATACGATGTCTGTTTATATTTTTATTTGAACATTTTCAGATGGACGTTCTTAAGGATGACGCCTTCACGAACCTTATCGTGCTTCAAACGGTTCTTCAAGAGCTCCGGCACCGGCACGCTCCGGGCTACAACACCATCAGAGAGATCCTCGCCAACAAAGACAGACAATTCTTTGTGTTCACCAACGAGCACCACAAGTACGTGCTCAACCTCAGCCTTTTCACTTCCCCATTTACTAAAAGGCCTTTTTCGAAAGTGTGTGCCAGCTATCGGCCTGCCATCGTTGCCATGGACCTAAATCACGAAATACTGAGCCCGCGAAAAATAAGTCGTTTACAGTATATACATTTTGCTGGGGCAGGAATACAAATACTGTGATACACTTTTCTTGGGAATTATTTTAGATGTTCTCACACTATGAGAACTTGGGGGCTATGTTAGACAAACGTTTAGTTTCTCCTAAAAAGAAACGGAAGTGATGATATCGCTTATGGTTGGTTAGAGGCTTAAATGACGAAAGTTCCGTCTTTCGTCATTTCAGCCTCTAACCAATCAGGTGCGATATCGTCACTTCCATCACTTTCGTTTCTTTTTAAAAGAAACGAAACATTTGTCGAACACAGCTCCCCTGGCTGGGTATACCAAATGTGTATACAAAGAACATAAAAAAAAGTATGATCAGCATTATTTTAAACAAATACACAATATTTCTTTTAAATCAACACATCATTACTCACTGTAAGATGTTCCCTCAATTTCGGGGTTGACATTTTGGCGTTTTCCCCCTCAGAATGAACACTACATGATTTACGTTGTGGTAAGGGTAACGAACAGGTCTGCAACGGGTTGAAAAACACTTTCCACCAAATTGCTAAGGCACTTTACTGCATCTGTCTTGTGGCCTCCCAAATAACCTCAGAACGTCATCGTGCTCTTCTCTGAGCTGGGCGCCCCTTTCAACAGTGATCTTGCTATGTCAGGGTGGAATAAACCTGTAATATGGTTAGAGACGAGACAATTCAAACAAACATCGGCCTGCACTACAACGAAGCCACCCCCCAGGCCATCGCCTTAGAAAAAGATAATTTGAAAAAAGATGAGTTTGAAGTTTTGTTTGGAGTTCGTTTCCTTGAAAATCTTAACAAGTTAGGTTGGCCCCTATTTGGACCACGATACCAGAAATACACCCAAAAACATATTTCAGCGCAGAAATATACGATAGGGTTAAAAATCTGTATTGTGATACACAAATATAAATACAATATGTATTTCTGAAATGCTATCGTGCTACTGCCCAAAGCTATGGAAACATTGATGACAACAAAAAATTACTAACATTTACGTTTATTTAGGACTCTGAAAACTTTCAATATACTTGTTGAAATGAGTTTAACAGTGTCTTACCATTATTTAGTGCAGGTTGTACCAAAGCAGCAATTATATTTTGAAGTTTTCGCCACTCAGCTTCTCCCTCTTGATTTCAAAAAACCTGCCCCTTACCAAAAAGGATGTTTATAGGACGTGCTCAACGGAAGTGCGGTGTTTCGTCGCAAGAAAGCTTCCTTGATATTGGGAAACTGTCAATGAAGTGTTTATGAACAGATGCCACAAAGCGCAATTAGAGAAAAATGTATAAAGAAAAAAAGGCGATGCGATGCACCCTAGCATACTGTCCAGAAATGAGGGTCAAAATTCTCCCCGTGGCGCTTGCAAAGATTGGAAGACGAGGACTTCCTGGCCATATTCCCTTTCTTGCAGTGTTTGCAGCTGGCTGTGAGGTTATCTCCACTAAAGTTAATCGGGTCAAAGTGCCTTTCATACTTTGGCCACGGTAACACCTGCCGGTCTTCAGTCATCGCATCTTTGGACGATCAATTTCCATCAAACTATTTCTCTTTTCACTTGTAGCATTCTCTCTCTCTCTGTCGCTCTCTCTCTCTCTCTCTCTTTGATACAGGCAAACAGACCGATCCATTACCAGATTGGGGAAAGAATCAGGTAGCCAGACAATTTGGGACTGGAAAATGCGAAAGACCTTTAGTATCCAACAAAGTGAAGGAAGGTCAAAGAAAGAAATGAACAAAAACAACACAAAGTCATCTCGAAATGTGTTCCAATTTTCCTCTTTAATTCATTCTATGAAATGCAGAACAAGAGAGTCGACCACAGACCACAGGCATATGGCCCCTGGTACAGAAAAAGTCGGCCAATAGAAACATTGTCTGTGGCTTGCCTTTGCAAAGGAAGCGTGAGACTAGCCTTAAAACTAATAGTCCTCAGCTTTGAGTCTAAAAAAAAGAATGTAGCCTTGCAATTGAGTACAGAGGCCCTCATGAGGGCCTTTGTCTTTTACTGCAAGACTACATGTTTTTATTGCACTCAAAGCTGCGAAGCACCTGCTTAGAGGCTAGTCTCCACGCTTTATTTGACCGGATCACTGTTATATGTCTGTCTTTGCCTTCATCCGTCGTTGCGAGTTGGCTTCGTCTTTGTCGGAGGAGCCGGAGGTGTTCACGGAGGTCGGAGAGGGTGAAGAATGAGCGAAAATATTGCGTACTACAGTTTAAAACAAAACAGTTTGCCTGCACGATAAAAGAAAAAAGAGAGAAGTTTCGCGAGACTGCTTTGTCTGCCAGAAGGGTTGGGTGTGTCGAGGAGTTCAGAAAGGGTGAAGGCCAAGTGAGAAAGTTGCACACAACGGTTAAAAACAAAAAAAAATATGTTTACCAACGCAATAAAAAAAAGGAAGGGACAAGTAGAAAAAATCATGAGCCATTCCACTTTGCAAAGGGTGATGATCAGCGAAGCTGTTAAGCACACAACAAAGACGTGACACAGAATTTTGAACAAAGGTACGAACACATTTATTATCTTGATCAGTGGTCATTGTGACAAAAGGTATGTGCACACATGTCGAGGATTATGGCCTCCCCAAGGAGCCTGAGGAAACTAGATGTGCACGACGGAACCGCCCCCCGGCACAAGGAAAGGAAACGAGGCACGCAAGTGCTTGGAGCGACGACAAAGAGAGGGCGGTGGGCTTTCCTCCTCCTTCCCGCTAATTTTCCTACTAAATTTGGCGGGGAAGTTTTTCTGCTAAACTTGGCGGAGAAATTTACCCGTCAAATTTTTCTGGAAAAATGAAGTTTTTGTTGACGCACACGAAAAATTCATGGAACCCTAGCCATACACAGTTTCGCTGTAAAATGTCTGCCAACTACTGTAGAATTCCTTATTTTTCCTTTCATCTTTTTCTTTTGCTGTCAGGCTCAACCTCTTCATAGGCACAAGCCCACTGTAGTCTTAAGGGCGATTCACACACTTGCATCGAGTCCGACCGATTGCAACTGAAACGGCTTGCGACGTACGGGTTGCTATGGCAACAACTGCATTGGCTCCTACAAAACCGGTTTTTACCCCACTTTTTTTTGAGTTGACGCAGCTGTTGCCATAGCAACCCGTACGTCGCAAGACGTTAGTCACACTTGGTCAGACTCGCGCAAGTGCGTGAACTACCCTTTAGAAGGATAGGGTCTATTATGGCCATTACTATTTAGTTACTTTTCTAAAAAATAACTAAGTTATCATTGCAGTCACTTTTAGAAAACATAATCTGTTACTGCTATCGAAAGAAGCAACGATCTACAATATTGCAATACCATCCAAGACTTGCTTGATCACATCAGTGGCAGATGCAGGGGAGAGGGAGGTGGGGGAGAGGGGTCGAACTTCCCCACTTTCAAGAGGGAAGGGGAGGGCCCCCTCCCTCTTTCCTTTCTCTCCTCGAAAGAATTCCTGCCTACACCCCTAAATCACATCCTCTTAGCATGTATTGGGCATAAGGGCTGCGTTTGCATTTGGTGAGGACTTGGATTTGATCACACGCTTTCTGCCCTATGGATGGATGGATGGATGTTAATGGCTATACCTGTTGTAACAGGCAGTAGCTTGCGCCACCTAGCCGAAGAAATGTTTGCCGCCATTGTTGCCTGATGGGGTTTTGAAAAGGGTCTAGTTTGGCTTCGTTATCTACCTAAACCCCATTACCAGTCTTCTGCCTTAGCTGGTGGCGCTTTTAACTGTGGTTCAGACTATTTGTCAGTGCTTGCTTTGTCTCCAATATGTCACTCCCCTGAACTTGCCTCTGCCCTGGTGTCCTCGTAGAGAGACCTACGTGGAGCGCGAGCCTGGCGAAAGTGCAAACGACCGCAACGACCGGGCCATCCGCGTCAGCGTCGACTGGTACATGAACCACCTGAACTCAAGGGTGGACGTGGTCCTGCTCACAAACGACGAGGAAAATCGTCGTAAGGCCGAGGCAGAGGGAATCAAGGCGTGCACCTGTGAGTCGCTTCATTTTATGTCTTCGCAGCTCTACAGATGTAGCGAATCTAGAAGCAGCGTTCCTTCGCCGTACCGGTCGATACTTTTCCAAGATTTTGGTTACGTCCACTTCTATGACCCTGAAAGAGTGCTGGACGTCTGAAGTTGTTGCTGCAGACGAATACAGAGTTCAGGTTCGTCTGCTTCTTGCGCAGGGGTTGCGTTGACGTCAGAACGACGCCGAGTTCTGGTTGATTTGATTCGAAAGATAGTGGGTAGACCTCAAGGCTGGATCTTTCATTTTGCTGGGGCCTCCGCTTCACCCTCCCCATCATACAGCATTTTGTAATGGGCGGGCCCCCCCGAATCAAGAGCCTGGCTACGTGCCTGCCTTGAGGTCTACCCAATATTTTTTTCAACCAGCCAAAAAGAGCTTGGCGTTCTGACGTCACCACAACCCCTACAAAAGAAGCAGACGAACTTGCACTTCGCACAGTCTGTTGCAGGTTAAGAATAGCGGGACAAGCTCCGCCCACAAAACCCTCTACTATTATCACTTTGGCAGAACAAATGCTGAAGATGAGGCAAGTAGAGAGGGAGAAACACCTATTCGTGGCAAGCAGAGAGGTTTGTGGGGAGGGACTTGGCCTGATATTCTTTTACTGCAACAGACAGTAGGTAGCGTATTATCCCTAAAAGCTCCATGCTCGACTTCATTAATATCCTTAAGAACAAAAAAAAAAAAAAAAAAAATGATGTCTACGTGCACACATTTACTATTCCTCCACCTCTCACAAGCCCTGCTCTGATTCTGCTATTCCTTGCATTTGTGCCACGGTGCTTTGTTTTCATTCACTCGAGCTTGACATCTCCACTGACTGCTGCTTTAGGACCGCTTCATGATGCAGCGTCCTCGCAGTTTCAGAGTATGTGCGGAGTCTGAGGGACCATCCGGGCCTCCTGGACAAGCTTGCCAAACTGGAGCTCGACGGAGCTGCCGTAAGTGAATCTAACCTAAAACATGCCCGTGCTGTCAACTTTGGGCATCTTAGCTTTGGGTTGCCCCCTTTACAGAGGAAAAACAGGTACCGGGCATTAGAAATCGAGGGGTTTGCTGTATAATGAGTGGGAAAAATGGGACTTGCACACAACAAGCTCAAACTTTCAACATGGGTGAAATGTGGTGGTGGAGTTCACTTTCTGAAATTTGAAGGAATAGCTGTGCTCCCATGGAAAAATAGAATAACATACTTGGACTCTTCAACGGCAAGCGCCGACGCAGGCTACCGAACCTTCCGAGAGTCACACTTGTGGCGCCACCTCCCAATAGGCGTAGAAAGCGCAAGGTCGAAAGCGGACAGCAGTTTTAGAGTGCTCGCTGCATCTGTCGCAAGGTGGTGCCACAGCCTCACTTGCAAGTGACTTGTTTTGTCGTGTTGGTGCCCACCGTTGAAACTGCCATGGATGTTATTCTTATTCTTCGCAAGAATGAAGCTACTGCTTGACATTTCGCAGGGTAACATCCCTCATTAAAATACATCTTTGACGAAAATTAGAACCCTCTATGTGCTGGTGTTGCTTTTCCAGCTCGTTTTCAGGTTTTATTTTTGTCAGCAATTATTTTATTGTTTGGTAAGTTTTATCTCGTACCGATGGTTGTGTCCCCATTGTCCACCGGGTGTCTTCGTTTAGGGTTGCCTTTCCTCTTTTGTGTACCCCTAGTTTAGGGGTTCAAAGCTCCCAAAGTCTTCAATGGGTTTTGCTCATTCACCTGTTGGGGCCATCTGGATTAACCTTGATTTTCTTTTGTGTGCTTTTCCGTTTAAAATCGTAGTCTAAAACAATTTGAAAAAAAAAAAAAAAAAAATTTTTAAAACACTGACGGAAAAAAAAAAAATTCCCCTATTTAGGAAATGATGTCACGGGCATGAAAATAAAAATAAAACCCCAAAACGAAGGGCCCTACCTACTACGTGGTATAAGACTGAAAGAGCCGTCCTTGAGTTTGGGTGCCGTCACGGTAACAGCATACCGACGGCGGCTCTAGGGCGAAGTGGGGGACAAGCGCAAGGGGTTCCTGTTCCCGGAGCACCTCCCGCAGTCTGCGCTGCATCTGGGCATCAAGAGCGGCAAGTATGAGCAGGGAAAGTTCCAGGCGAGCCGGGAAAACTACCTCGAGGGCAACGTGGTCATTGGCGGCGACAACGAGGGGGAGTCGCGCTCCGTGAGTGGTGTTGTGCCAGTTGGGCCGACTTTTTCAGTTTCCCTTTTACGCGTTAACCACACTGCCGCCCTTGCTGGGCATGCCTTACAGACGCAGAGACAAACCTGAAGGCACAGGAATAGTGAACACACTTGTGTTTGATTACAACCAAGTTCTTGTGATCTTTTATCATGGCAGAACACTAAAAAGCCTATATAAAACAGAGTGTCTTCAGTGCTTGATCGGTGTCACATGGGCTGCGTTTGCAACAGAGCTGCAAGGAGGAGACGAATGCATTGGTCGTCTGCAGGCACCTCCGCCTTTACGCTTGCTCTCATCCTCGCCGCAACGCAGCGCAACACCTTTGCACTTGCGACCAATCGGCACATGAGGCGTCTGCCATCGGATTGCAAATGCTGCCGCGGTTTAAGTTGCTTCGTTTCTTACATCTAGGCTTTCGCAGGACGCACTGGCATGCTGGCACAATCTATGAGGTTATCCTGGAACTGCGTTTTACTAGAGCGAAGGTTTTGTGGTATTTTCGACATCAAATGTACATACTACCTATAAAGAATGATAATTTATAACACTGTTGAAAGATTTTTAAAACAAAAAAGAAACAGCAATGCTAAAAAAAAAATAGGAAGGATGCGGACATGCCAAGTGTTCCATGGCCATTACTGTATTGGGGGTTGTAAAAAGTTTTAAGGCACACGGTTGTAAGCAGTCACAAGTGTGTGAGCCAGCCTTTAACATGAAGCTAGTAGGAGCTTGTAGGGGCAGAAATAGAACCGAAGGCCGACGAACGACAAGCAGACTAAACTTAAAGCCAGTCAAGGTTGGCGGGGAGAACTCGGAAACAAACCTGCTAGATGCCTCGCAGGACCGGCCGACGTCTGTCCTCGTTGTCCCGAAGTAGCAGTTTCTTAGCAGAACGTCGTCTGCTGTCATAGGGCCTCTGGGAGCTTCCGGGGGCTCAAATGATAAATAATTTCTCCAATGCTTTTTTTTTTTTTTTTTGTCTACTTATTGATTGTTTCGCTTTGCACTCTTAGGGGAGGGGGTGAGGTTGTTACACAGTCCCAAGCTCTGTAAGCGACGAAACTCGGAGCAGTGAGAGGGATATTTGATGGAGTTGTTAGGGTTCGGTTGGTACAGAAAAGTGGACCGATTGCAGCACCTTGGAAGCTATTTTGCAGTAGAGTATCTATATAGCGTGAAATGTATAGCAAGAATATGGTAGCTAAGTTGAAGAGTGCCCATAATATTGGTACTTGCTTTTGATATACTAAAGTAGTTGTGAGGTATTTCCTTAAAAGTCTTTTTGCGGTAAAAAAGTAATGATGTATTTAAGAGTAAGGGCAAAATACGGGTATTTCTGCAGAAGTCGGCCATTGTTCCAGAAGAGAGAGAAACAGGGTCTTTGAGGACAGGAATAAATAGAACACACCAGTACTCTCATCGGGACTTGCTGCAAAGCGCAAAATACAATGATAAAAGTTTTCGCGCACAATCGTCCAAAAAGTACCGACGGATGAAAGCATCGTTCGAGTGACTTTTAGTCAAACAACTGGCCATGATAAAGTTGCAGGTAATGCAAAGATGCAATCGAGTTGGACAAGAATAGGGTTAATAATCCTTGAAGAAGGGGAAAAAGGGGGACAAAGGACAAACTCAAATCTCCAAACACAGCTAGGTGACCGGCGCACGACTGAAAAAATCCGACTGGCCATCAAACGACTGGACGTTCTTCGACAAAGGGATTTGGACGAAATTGTTCCTTTTGGGCACCAAAGACTCGTTCATACATACACCACACTGCTACCCCAGCACTATCAGTTATGATGTTATGACATTGGGGCATCCTAGAAGTTTGCCCAAGCCAGCCTCCTGACATAATGCCACAGCAATGTAGCATTAGTCGGCACTAGAAATAGTGCTGGCCTTGCCGATCCGGCGCCGACTTCTCGGTCTATTAGTGACGCAGCGCTGATGCGGCTCTTCATCAGCGCCCTTCTTATGGTTGCCGACAGAGTGAGAAGGGCACGAGCATGAGCACACACTCGTTGCCTTCTGCCGTGCTTTGGCCGCGAGTGCATGCTCGAGGCTGACGAGATGCCTAGACCTTATCGAGGGCAGGATGCTGGAGGCACGTTGGCTGAAACTTCCTCCTACCGTTATCATTCTGCCGGTGACTATAGCTTTGATTTAGTGCCATGACATGTTTGTACCGACCTTGACGCTCGTCCTTCGGCGGCATGGTTCCACAGATATTGATCCAGGGTCGCGGCCACCTGAACCGGGCCGTCCACGACGACTTGGTGGTGGTCGAGACCCTTCCGGAAGAGCAGTGGTCCCTGCCGTCGGGATTGGTGCTCCTGGACGAAACTCAGGACGAGGAAGAGGACAAAGGGGTTAGTTGAGTGTTTGTGAGTTGGAAAACGTTTCTTGAACTACGGTACCCAGGGCGCTTCTCTGACCGCTGCATCCACCGCGTTTTCGTTTGTGGTTCTTCAATTTCTGCCGGAGGACGTCGTTGGAGGGCCGCGTTCTCGCTCGCCACAATCTTCACGGCGGCACGGCAGTGATGGCAGATGTGGGAGACGCCTGTTCGGCTGCAGGTCGCCCTCCAGCTCGTCAGTCCGCGAAGGCTATGGCAGCCAGGAGTTGGAACGCCACGGACATGGCGAGACTTGCATTTGCTCATGCTTTTTTATTCTGCAACCAATGTGGACCGCAAGTTCATCTGCTTCTTTTGCAGGGGTTGCGGTGACGTCTGAACATTGAGCTTGATTGGCTCTGATCAAAGGAAGGGGTAGAACTGAAAGCAAGCTGCCTTGAGGTCTACCCACTATTCTTCAATCAGAGCCAATCGGAGCTCAGCGTTCCGACATCACCGCAACCCTTGCAAAAGAGGCAGACGAACTTGTGCTCCACACAGCATTGAAGTCTACCCAGTATCCTTCCGATCAAAGCCAATCAGAGCTTGGCGTTGTTCTGACTTCACTGCAGCCCCTGTGCAAGCAGCAGGCGACTTGATCTCCGGATCGCCTGAATCCAGGCATGTGACAACGTGACGCTCCCACTCCTGCGACGTCATCCGTTGCCTTTTCATGATCGTTTTCGATGCGTGGGCGGGATGGGACGCCAAACGCACCAGTCAGTGACGTGATTCGGGCATTGTGGTGGTAGCTTTATGCGTATTGCCGCCATTGAAAGCATTTTCGGTTCTGGTTCCAGGATGAAGAGGCCAAGCTTTCGAAGAAACGGGCCGTCTCGAATAAGGTGCCGACCGGCCGCATCGTGGGCATCCTCAGGCGCAAGTGGAGACCGTACTGTGGAATACTCCAGCCCTCTAACATCAAGGAGGTGAGAGTTGGTCCCCGTGGGGTTTCGAGCCACGAGACTGTTTTAGCAAATTCTTTTCGAAGGTACTGTGCAGACCGCAAGTTTGTCTGCTTCTTTTGTGGAGGTTGTGGTGACATCGGAGTGCCAAGCTCTGATTGGTTGAAGGATAGTGGATAGACCTCAAAGCAAGCTGCCTTAAGGTCTACCCAGTATCCTTCAGTCAGAGTCAATCGGTGCTCGGCGTTCCAACATCACCACAACCCCTGTAAAAGAAGCAGATGAACTCGCGCTTTGCATACCGCTTTAGAATAGCTCTTGAGAGCATTCTTTCAGGTGACAGAAGGAGCTGCCAGTACCAGTGTTTTTCTATGAAAACACGATTTGCTAACACTCGTCGTCAATTGTGTCGCCGAAACTTTTGACTGCTGCTTTCGTTATTTGTTGTTGTGCATAGATTTACTGAGGGCAACTAGATCAGCTAAAATTCAATAGATAACACAGCTCAAAAAAAAAAAAAAAAAAGTGAGGGGTTTAAATTTGCAAACCAAAAATTATGCAATGCTCTAAAGTGTGTGTGTGTGTTTTTTTTTTTTTAGCGTAAGCCAAGGCAACAGCGAATTGAGAAAGTAGCAAAGACGAGACAATACGCAAGCGTCGAGAACGTGTGATTATCGCCATCTCACAGACATCACAGGGAGTGTTCTTATTTGAACGCAGGCAACCAGGCACCTTTTTGTGCCGGCCGAACGCCGGATCCCGAAGATCCGCATCGAGACTCGCCAGGCAGACGTCCTGTGCCGCCAGCGCATCGTCGTCTCCATAGACAGCTGGCCGAGAGACTCTCGATATCCACAGGCGAGTGAGATTTTGGGGTAGTCGCAAAAACGACAGCAATCGCTCGCCACGAACCCCAGTTTAACTTGACTTGACATTTCCGTCGAGCTGCGTTATACCCCGATTCACCTTACGACCAACCACAGCGGACATTACGAGCGATCCCAGTAGATCCAGCGCCGTAAATATTTCTCGTGACTACGTGCTCTATGCATTGCCGCTTCTCTCTCGAAGGCCATGTAACACTTGCACGGCGTTGAACTGGCTTCGATTGCTCGTAGCATGTTCTGCTGCCCGTCGAAAGGTGAAACGGAGTATATAGTCGTCTGCAATCGACGTCAAAAGATGGGGGTCTGTACAATCGAGGACACCAAACGGGGTTTTGTGTCACCGTGCTTCTCTGCCAAGTTGGCTGTGCCTCAAAGGATAGCTTTTGGCGTGGACCAGAATTTGTCTGGGGAGTTTAGAATTCACTGTGCATTTTTCGGATGCACTACGGCTCCTAGGTGGTGTTATCATGGCACGAGACTGCATGCCACATTCACAATAATGCCGTGCCCTCATCTCGTGTTCACGGTGCAACGGTGTTGTGGTGTGCATACTCGTTTGACAATATCACCGAGTGTATGGTAAAACCTCACTGTTGTACTCTTCACAGAATGTGGCAAAGGTGTAGCTAAACAAAGCTTGAAAGTTATTTGCCGAGCTTTTACCACACTTAAATGAGATCTTTGTATTTTTACTCTAAATTCAATTAAGGAGCGTCGCGAAGCCTGGCATTGTACTGTTCATTTGGTTCAGGTCAGGTGTAACTTTGTTCATCATATACACCAACTCATGCTTACAAACAAACCGGAGCGCCCCTAGCGGCACGCCACCGGCACTACACATACACAATGGGGTGTGGGCAAGAAGCACCGCGTCGTGCGTTAACAAACCCTTAGAATGTTATGTTCTCAGTGTCGGTGTAAGTCCCCATGTCCTTTTTCGCGTGGAAATTGTTGATTATAAGCCTTCCTAGCAATCTCTTACTACTTTAGTGGCCTGAGCCAAATTAACGAGGCTTGTTACACCGCAAAACTTGGTGTACATAATGTGATGTGCGGCGATTCATTCTTCATGAATGCCGCAGAATGGACGCGAAAGTCTGGTTCATATGAGATTCTCCTCGCTATTTTCAGTCGCGACGTCGCTTGGGCTGCAAAAACGTGGTCAATAGCAGCGATGCTCAACGTCGATACTCAAAACCGTAAGCAGAATCCGACCAAGTGAATCAGGCATAACAACTCGGTGATGGCCACTGGTAACAATGGTCAACATCTCCTTGTATCTACGGTTTACTCCAAGCCTACTTACCCCAAGCAACCTTCAAACTTCAAAGTATTTCGAGGCTTGCATTTTCCTTTTATACCGTTTGGTCTACTGGTCACTGTCATTTGAATGAGCAGACGACAGTTTGAACAAGTTTGAAAGAGTAGACGACAGCTTGAACGATCAGACAGCCATTTGAATGTGAAGACGCACTGAACATGCTCTGCGGGTGGTCTGGACAGCTTGACGGTTTTCCCACGTTCATGTTGGAACAAAACAAATAAATCTGCTGACCACATGTATCCGTGAATTCAACCCAAGGTGCCTCCTGCACAAGTATTCGGGGTCCCAAGGTGTCCGGTTTCCTCTTTCATGGCATCTATGCACGTTCTCAGACAAACTGAGCAGACTGAGAACACATAAAAACTGATCTTCATATTTTTCCCGGCTCTTTTGGTACAACCTCAGTCGCAGCGTTTTGACAAAAGGCTGGTTTTAGTTTGGATTCTTCCAAAGCAACACAGGAATGCCTGTCCTGCATGGCGACTTCTGCCCACACCCCTAGACCAGAAGTGCGCCCTAGGTGCCACCACCGCAACGTGACGTAACAGAGATGAGTTCGTGTATACCAGGGGTGGCCAAGCTGGCCCGGCTTTAGAGCCGCAAACAAAACCACAAAACTTCCAAAAGTCGTTGGGGGGGGGGGGGGGGGGGATTTGTTTAGAGCATTGAACAAAGCAAGAACTACTTTCAATCTATCCGAGTCAAAAGCAGTCCTACTGTACGTAAGGTAGCAGTAGCACAAGACTACCAAAACACAACCAGTCTCGATTTAAAACACGTTCCATTTCTTTTTTTGAAGAAGTGCTCGTGCGACCGGGAGGGGGCGGGGAAGGTGGGGGGGGGGGGTAGGGGAGGCAGCCGTGAGCCACACTTTAACACGCGAAGAGCCGCATACGGCCAGCTTGGCCACCCCTGGTGTATACAGTGGGCTTGTTCTATTCATCTGCACCAGCCGACACCGATGTAGGTAAATCGAATGTAGCAACTATCGTGTGTATTGGGGCTTCTCACAGGGTCATCTTGTGAAGGCACTCGGCGAAGTGGGTGACAGAGCGACCGAGAACCAAGTGCTCCTCCTGGAGCACGACATCCCTCATCAGTGCTTCTCGAGATCCGTTCTTGACTGCCTGCCCTCTCTGCCGTGGACCATCGGACCGAAGGTAGGGGTCTGAACTTCATTGTTGCACTACGATCATAAACCTGAATTGTATGTGTGTGCAGTGTCGTAGTTTAGCCTTGGGCAATGTTAGCTGGAAATGTTGAAGTAGCGGTTGGGTGCTTTTAGTGGCACGATGCAATGAAGACACAAGGTACTGGCTTTGAGAACATGTACACTCCAGAGGATTCAACAAGGATTGCCATCTGTTGCAACACTTCATGGTTGCAACACAGGCTTTGTTGACGTTTTGCTATTTCTGCGGCCACAATCAGAGTTAGCATCAATGCATCGTCTATGTGCATGGTATTCATTATTACTATAGTTCCGTTTCACTTTACTATGAACTCCAGTAGATACTGCGAGCGATCGCAGCCGATCCAATGCCACGTGAGTTATCATGTGACCTTCGGAAAGGGAGCAATCATGAGCGAGGCGGATAGTCGCGTGACGCCTTTGCAGCTTCAAATTGGCTAGGACGGCTCATAGTGCCCGCTACGGTTCATCGCAAGGCAAGCTGGGGTATAGTAGTATGTGTTTTATTGGGCCGTGTTTGCATTGTTATAATACTTGTAATTTCACCTGTGCTTGCAACACAATTTGAATGTATACCACCCTACTGAATTCCCCGAATTACGACTTGTAGTTTCGTGAGAGATGAAGTTATCATTAAAGTGTTTTTTACTGGCAGGAAGAGAAGAACCGGGAAGACTTGCGGCATCTCTGCATTTGCAGCGTGGACCCACCAGGGTGTACGGACATTGATGATGCACTGCATTGCAGGGAGCTGCCCAATGGAAACTATGAGGTACAAGGACTCATTTTTATGGGGAGGGGGAATGTTTGAGTCTGTGCTAACATTTATTTCTCTCCGGTAGCTTTTTAGTTCGACACATTTCTGCACATCTTTGAGAATTCCTTGTCTTTGCTTGTTCGTTTCCTCCACTAGTAGTTTATTAATGTTACGAATTTAGCAGTCTTTGCCCTGACTAGGGTCAAAAGTGTCGGCAATGCACTGGCTAAGGTGCCGGAAAGCTACACTGATGCTCGTTAGGGAGAAAAAGATAATTCAAATCCCTATTGTCAACTTCCTGTTCAAGGTGCCTTCAAGGGCATTATGAAGATTCCTTTTCATGGAATAACTGACTACTGTCCTATTCAAGGGGCCATAAAAAATTTAATGTGCTTCTTCGTGTTACCATGAAGTGTCCCACAATGAGATCATAAAAGGGAAATGAATGGGATAGTCCCTTTACTGTTTCCATTGGAGAGACCATGAGGCATCTCTTGAATGGGACCATGCAACACCTCTTTTATGGGACTATGAAGTGTTCTGTGATTGGGACTTTGAAACATCCTTGTTATGGGACCATGAAGCATCCCTTTTATGGGACTATGAAGTGTTCTGTGATTGGGACTTTGAAACATCCTTTTTATGGGACCATGAAGCATCCCTTTAGCAGGACCACAGAGCACCCCTTAAATGAAACCATGCAACACCTCTTTCATGGGGCTATGAAGTGTCCCTTGAATGGGACCATGAAACACCCTGTTAATGGAACTATCAGGCGTCCTTCATTTGGGACCATGAAGTTCACTTGGAAGGCCCATCACCATGACCCTAGAAAATCGTCTTGACCCAGCGTTGCCTCTCGTGCAGGTGGGAGTCCACATCGCGGATGTGTCGCACTTTGTCCGACCGGGAACGGCCTTGGACAAGGAAGCTGCCAACAGGGGGACCACAGTGTATCTCGTTGATCAGGTGAGGGCAAGGGCATGCCCGTCATTCTGACAAGTTTTCGGACTATGAGAAAGGCACAGAAGCAAATTTCAAATTCACATTCCTTTCCAAAAGTATGTAGCAGAAGTGCCTCGGGAGCATCTGGTGCAGTTTTTGTTTTGGGTGGCTTTTTCACTGGGTCACAAACTCGCCTGACAGAGGGTGCAATAAGTGAACCTGAGGTGACGTTGCCTCCATTCACAGCCTTGAGCGAAGACGTGATTGTGCCGGACGTTATGCTTCGAAGGTGACGCAACATAATAGCGTTGGATGTCAAATTTAGGTTTAGAAGACGATTGAGCATAATTATGTGGGACGTCGACATCAGGCAATGACTGCGACCATTAGCATCTTGATTAATTAAAGCAATGATGATATAGGGTGTCCTAAGCGAACCTTCTGCTGTAAGATGAGCCAGGAAAATCAGTGCCTGCACATAGAAAGCTCAAGCTTTCACCGAATGTGCACTAAGCGAGTCGATTTCACCATGTGAAATTTTAAGGTGCAGTTCTGTTCCTGTAAAAAATGAAAGCGAAAAACTCACCAAAGTCAAGGATGTGTGCTTTCAAAGAAAACCAAGTTAGCGACGCTATTTACTTGTGGCACTATCTCCCGATAGGTGCAGCGAGCAGACGATGCACTCTATTGTGTGCTCACTGCGCTTGTCGGTGGATGGCGCCACTTGTAAATAGCGTTGTTAACACGGTCGTCTGCGTAACGCCCAACCTTGACTTTGGCAAGTTTTTTGCTCTAATCTTTAATAGGAAGAGAACTGAACTTTGAAATTTCACACAGTAAAACTAACCCACTCAATGCACATTCCGTGAAAGCCTGAGCTTTCTATGTGCGGGCACCGATTTTTCCGGCTCGTTTTACGGCGGAAGGTCTGCTTGGGGCACCCTATTCTTGCTGGTGGATTTTCTTTCCCATTGAAGACAATATTTTTGTGCCGTGTTTTCTTTCCCCTTTGAAAAGGACGGGAATCGCCGAAAAGATTTTCATTCTTATTTTTGCGTGTTCGGGTGAGTGTCGGAGGATTTTTGGTGCCACTGTAACATTGCCCTAGATTTCTGCACACCCACTTGTATTTCATTCTTTTATGTGTTTTGGGCTCTGTGACAATTATATATGGCACATCAGTGTATATGTATCACTGAAGCACATTTTCCTCCCACATTACAGAGGATAGATATGGTGCCTGAGTTGCTCAGTGCCAATTTGTGCTCCCTCCGAGGTGGCGAAGAGAGGTTAGTTTACTTATTTTACATCTTCTTTTTTTTTTTTTGCTTGCTGAACTTAAATGAGGTCCCAGGTTTTTTTAGTATCTCTATAATTTCTTTTATTTGTGTATTTTATTGAACTTAAACAACATTTTTTTTTCTGCTGTAATTAGTTCTTCATGGGACCTTGGCGGTTTCTAGCAGGCTGAACTCCTAAAGAAAATTGCTTTCTAAACCATAGATCCATAATCCCCTGCAGGGTGGTTTTACAGCATACAGTCGGCTCGCAATGATTCTAACTTGGATATTTCATGCTCCTGGTTAATCCAAACAAATTTAAAATTTTTGGTTGTCCCGCTATGTTTTTAAAGGGGCAGTGCAACGGTTTTAATGTTGAAAGAATTGCCAGTTTTGCATTTTTTATATTGTTTATACAAGCCCAAGTGACCAAAAACGCGTCACCTTTCCCCAAAAAACGGCTATTCTGCTGCGTAATCGCAAGGCCAAAAACGAATTATTTGCCGATCTACAGCCGCCGGTGGCGGCTACGGGAACTAAAATGACGGCGTCTCTAGGGGATACGCGGAAGTCAACTTACTCTGTCCCCCTCTGCTGCTACACTCGCCGTCAGTCCGGTGGCGGACCGTCCTTTGTGTCCATCACTCGCCGCGACCTTCGACAAGGCTAATCCTTTGAAAGTCGACAATCGCGGAGGAAGCGGCTGGGGTCTCTGAAGAGAGGGCCCAAGGGGAAACCACGTGAATCCCCAGAGATGTCACTCGAAAGCCGGCGTGGAGAGTTGAGAGGCACTTCGACCTTCGATTTGTTTCATTTTTTTTGTGATAAGAACTAGCACTCGCAAGAAAATGCGGCTTTCGGTTTTTCGTTCCATAGGTGACGCAGATTAATTTCCGCCGTTAATTGGCCAAAGTCTGAAAATCGTTTAAAGGGAAGCTAAAGAGGTTTTTGAAAAAAACGAGTTAGAGGTGAATTCTAGAGTATTTGTATCCCGTGAATCTGAATATCACGTTCATTTTCCCCGAAAATGTAACTAAATGTGAGGAAATATGCAAAACCTCCGAGCAGTCGTTACGTCATAAAAGGATCTTTCGGCTGCCAAGTGCATGTCGCTCGTATGGGCAGCTTGTGCAATTGCAAGCTTGCCGGGTATATTCCCCCGCACTGACACCAGTAGTGACGTCTTTTTCTGACCTTTTTGAAAATAGCAAGAGTGCGGGTGCATAGCTTCGATAGGCGCCGAAGACGCGCAAGAGCAAAGATTCCGAAAGTTCCTTTTATGGCGTAACACTCCAGGAAGAACGGGCTTCAGCGGTACTTTGAACATTAAATTCTGCAGCCTCCGTGCACCAAAATGAAATATAATCTTGATATTTGTGATACTGGAGGCCACATGAAGGTGATTTAAATGTTTTTACTTAAATACAGAACAGTTTCAGTTTCCCTTTAATGTATTCATAAGCCGCTTAATTCGAACGGCGTTTTCGTGCAATTCATACCTTTTTTTCTCACAGCCCCGTTGAGTGCGCTCCTTTCTGAGCGCGGGTGCGCTGCAGAGAGGCAACACCTGCGGAGCTTGCTTCTGCGGGTGTTGCTTCTCCGTAGCGCACTGGTGCTCGGTGAGAAGTGCACTCGAGGGGGCTCAATCAGGGCACACATGAGCTCTCAAAACGGGCACTACGCATAAATTTCCATTGCAACTTTCGCGGTCCACATGACAGCGTCCTCGCAAGTTGCTATGAAAACGGCCGCGCAATGCCCGTTTGCATCGCTCATGTGTCCCCCTGCTTAATTGTCCACATTAGACAACTTCTTGGCCTGATGAACAAACTTTTTGAACATTTTGTTTTGAGTTGTCATGTAGTGACTAAACAGTCCACAATAAACAACATTTCTGAGAGATAAATAAATTTATGTCACACATTTCACAAATGTTTCATCCTTGGCATACCTGCTTATGAATCATCAAATATCAGCTTTGTATGTGTAGCCATCCATACGGCAAATCAAAATTTCTTCTTGAATCATATTTAGATTATTTTTGATAATTCAAACTTCGATAATTCAAACAACATTTCTGGCTTCCTAAAGTTTAAATTAATGAGAGTCTCCTGTATTATTTTTTCTTTCGCTTGTGACCATGCTTTTCTTAAATATTAACTTGGAAACTAAATCTGCAATGAAGCAGAATATCCTTATGGCGTCCTCTTGCCAAGTGGACGGCTGTAACAGAAAGACGCGTCTGGTGCAGGGGTTCTCAAACTTAGATCATGAAAAACCCCCCTCTCCCCCAGTTTCAGCATTGGTGTAATAAGCCAGTGTGGAAGAATACAGTTCCCAGAAGCATTAACACACATAGTAGGGAGTGTATGGTTTGGGGAACCCATCAGGCTGCTCTGGGGAACATCCCCAAGCTCCCAAACTTTCTTGACCATCCCTGAACCTAGGTAAATAGCTAATTTAATCTGGGCCACATACTGATGCATAACTGTGAGCCAAGCACTCCCTAGTATGTGTGTTAATGCTTACCAGGTCTGTAGGCTTCTGCACTGGTTTATTACACTAATTCTGAGACACAGAAGGGTTCCTTAGCCTTTTCTAATAGAAAGCACAGGGTAGCCATTCTTCCCATTGTGTGTCCTTGTAATTGACGTTGATTGTTAGCTATGCCTTCATTTTGCTTCTCCTTTCTTGTAAGGCTGGCATTTTCAGCCATCTGGGAGGTGTCCCCAGAGGCAGAAGTGCTTCATACCAAGTTCCACAAGTCCATCATCAAGTCAAGGGTATGGAAATTCATAAAAATCGAGATCTATATTTGAAATGTGAGGCTCAAAAAGGACTCTAGCATTTAATCCTTTGTTGTTTTATGTGAGCTGTAGATTAAGTTTAACCCGTTCCCTGCACCCTCGAGGACATTCTGAGATACAAAGCAATTCTAGCAACATTCGTAAGTTGAGTGGACATCTTTCGGAAGTTGGTGGCATAGTACCTCGAGAGTGGAAGCACTAGAATTCAATTAGACAACTGGAAAACCAGTCGCACGAAAAACTAGCTCTGTCTAACAGAGATTCATTGACATATGTAGTTGCTTTCAAGTTTCATTTGATTGCATAGCTGAAACCAACAGTTCTTTGGTGGGGTCTGCATATGTTGAAGGATCAATGTTGACTTCCATATTGGTAGCGTAGGGTTGTACTTCAGGAATAGTGATAGGGTAGAACTGCTGCATAATGAAGGCTGATATAAGAAAGAGATACCGTAAAATCCCGAGAGATAGCCCGGCTAACATCAAGAGCAAATCGGGTGAAAATATAGAGTGCGCTAACTTTCGGTGTACATTTGAAAAAGGTTTAAAAAAATGCTATTTTGAGGTCATGTCCCTTCCAAGCTTGTTAAGGTGGCGAGGGGCAACGAAGCAAAGATGACTGCACTTCCCAGTCAGCAACGTTCGCTTATATCCCGCCATAGCTAACTAGCTGCATTTACGCCAAGGCCATCATTGATCCTGACACTACTACTATCACTTGGAGTGAGCTATCTTTCGGTGTTTAAACAAATATAGCAAATCAAGTCAAATATAGGGTGGGCTATCTTTGGGGGGGTGGGGCATTTCTCGGGATTTTACACTAGATTTAGTTAAGCAAATTTAAACTTTGCTTTTGATACCGCTACAGGCACCTTTGGTGCTGATATAGTGAAGACACAAGTGTGAAGATTTTTCCTCTGAGAATTTACCGTGCTGTGGTGAGGCTCTGTGGTTTTTTTAACCTCAAGATTAGTTTTTCTCTCATTAATCACTAGCTCCAGAATTCAAACGGTCACCAATGCAGAAGTTTGCACCTCGCAATGCATGGGGATTCACTGCAGGAATTGACTGATTCTTCACCTAACACAGTGCTCAAAGCTGTTTTCCGGAAACCCAGCGTAATTTCTTGTAGGCTGCCCTTACTTATGCGGAAGCTCAAGCCCGCATCGACGACACGTCTTTGAACGACGAGCTGACTCTTGGTTTGCGCGGACTCAACCGACTGGCCAAGATCCTGAAGGCAAAGCGGATTGCAAACGGGTGAATGCTCGTCCTCCCCCCCCCCCCCCCCCCCTTCCCCCCCCCCCGGGAATTCAACGCCTATTTCAGCGGTGCCATTGAGTGTAACGGTGTGTGACCGACCCCACGCTGTTTTGCAGGGCGCTGACGCTGGCCTCTTCGGAAGTGAGGTTTCACGTGGATTCAGAAACTCACGATCCGATCGACGTCCAGACAAAACAGCTGCTGTGAGTGGACTGCACATCTCGGGATCTGTGGAGACTTGGGGAATATGTTTCTTATGCTGTCAGTGTCTAGCCATAGAGTGTTGCGAGCGACGCACTTGGAAGGCCTCGCCTTTAGCTACTCTTAAACTCGGCTTAAAGGGGCACTGTGGTTTCTGCTGAGATTGCTTGTTTATGGTCATAACTCTACCTACGGGCTTTGAGCATTCCAAAGAAACGCAAGTTTAAATCGATACGCGTCCGATTTTCCTATTAATAATAAAATCAAAAATCACAGCCTGCCCTTTTTTTTTTATTTGGTGCAGAAACTGGAGAGTGTTGTCAAATGTGCAACAGCCAATCTCGAGCGATTGCTTCCCACACAGCAAGGGGGCCGACCAACGGCAACCTGGTTTTCGAATGTGTGTGATTCATGCACGGGAAGCGATCGCTCACCAATTGGCCGTCGCACGTCTGACAGTGCCTTCCGGTTCCCGCACCAAATCTCAGAAAAATGTGCGTTTCGTGACCTTTCATCTGTGTAAAATCGGATGCATGTCAATCTAATTTTGGATTTGTGAGAATGCTTAGAGCCCATAGATTAGGTCATTTACAACCGTTTATAAACAATCCCAAAACCATCTTTAGTGCCCCTTTAATGTAAATTCGTATTCAAGCGACGGAAGCTCTTTTTGATGTCACGACCATGTATCTATTCAATTGTCCTGCGTGGAGGACAGAACAACATACCAGTCTCAATGGCGTAACCATGAATATATCTTTTTTTTTTTTTTTTTGGTAAGGGGGGGGGGGGGGGGGGGAAGGGAGTTGGGAGCTTTAGCCTCACAAGTTCCTTCCTGGCTTATGTCTCTGCACGACTGGTCATTGTGCTTAGGAGGAAACTGACAGATGTATGCGATGCGCTCATTAAAGCTGCTTCTCTGTTTTGTTGTTTCGCATTTTCGCATTTGAAGGGAGACCAACTCAATGGTGGAGGAGTTCATGTTGCTCGCCAACGCGTCTGTGGCGAGGCACATCTTCCAGGAGTTCCCGGAGTGCGCCCTGCTCCGGCGTCACCCGGCGCCAGCCCCCGCGAATCTCGAGCCCTTGGTCAAGGCGGGACACTCCAAGGCGAGCTGTAGTCCTCTGCATCCAAAGCCGCCGCTCACGTACAGGGACGCGTGCTCTTGGCTGCGCATATATGGAGCCGTAGCACCTAGAGGCATTACATAAGCAACGCCTAGAGTCTCGGCGCTCCATTTCCCGATCGTCTTGTGGGTGCTGCCATTTTGGTGCCAGGTGCGGAGCAGGCGGAATTGGCAATTGTCGCAATTCGAAAATGCAACTTCCTAAGCTTTAGATTAGGCGTTGGGGAGCTCGAGCTATATTGTTCTGATCTGTCGTGGACTGTTTTAGCACTTCTGGAAGACTAAAAAAATGCTCTCTGTGATTTCGGATGAAGCTTCAGATAACTGGCAACATTGATTTTGAGCACCAAGATGGCTGAAGCATTGCTACCATGAAGCGTATAGCTTGCTCAGTGACTCTAGCAGCACCCCGTCTTCACAGATCATACATTCTTTACTCTTCCACGGACGAAAAAAGTAAGGCTGTAATCTTCGTTTATTCAGGGGCCAAAGTTCTGACCGATGAGGTCGATGGAGTAGTTTCGGAAGTTGGTGGGTCAAGGGCTCCAAGCGGGAAAGTTGCTTCAGTTTCAAGAGAATTTCCACCAGGGTTGTTGGTTAAGAACCATGTATGGTCGTACCTCGTTAATACAGACACCTCTTTTGCCCCCTAGGATCGCTCATAACGTGTCGTCCGTATTAACGAGACAAGAATGCACGTGTTCAACCAGTTTGTCCCCAAAAATTTTTCGCCCACATAGTGGGGTATATCTATACTAACTGGGTTCATATCAACGAAACACGACCATAGTCGCGTTCATGGCATCTGTGCCCACTGTGGACGTACGATCTCGCTCGCAGTCGACAAAGTACACCAACCGACGTCACGTCGGTTGGTGTACTGATTAATGAAACGATGTTGAGCTGGAATGGCATTTCAGTTCCTCGTGTTAAGCACACCTACATGGGTGTACCAACCGGGGGGGCAAGGGGGGCGCTTGCCCCCCCCCCCAGTTCTCAGAGTGGGAGGGCAAGGCTTGTGTTTTTGCCCCCCCCCCCCCCTCGAAACGACCGCCACTGGGCAGGGCAAACACTGGCCGGCTGCAGGATACCAAGGGCACCAGATACCAAGGGATACCAAGGGGGGGAGTGGGGGGGGGGGGGGGGGGTCTGGTTTGCTTCCCCACTCAGAAACAAGTTGGTACGCGACTGCACACATATATAGCCGGCGACAACATGAGAACAGCATGGAATGTTTTTCGGATGGCCTCCCTCCAGTGACTGTAGGGGTTATTTGAACGTTCGGATGTCGCAGGGCTTTGTGGTGGAAGTGGAGAGCGGCCTGCGTCTCGCCGAGTCGCTCGACAGGGCCGTAGACCCCGAGCAACCCTACTTCAACGTGATGCTCCGCATGGTGGCCACCCGCTGCATGGCGAGGGCCCTCTACTTTTGCAGCGGCTGCGTAGCTCCGGAGGACTTTGATCACTACGGCCTGGCGATGCCTTTCTACACCCACTTCACCTCGCCTATTCGAAGGTGAGCACCCGCACCTTTGTCTTCTCGATGCATTGATAGAGGGCATCACACTTTTCGTAACAGGAGGTGGTTTAACCCGCGGAGCTTGTGCCTCTCATTCTGGCTTTATTCTTTAGGCGTGTGCAAATACAAACTGAGAAAAAGAAGGAGACTGGAGCGCGCGTGGACGTCGGAGAGCCGAGCCAATGGCGGGAATCATTGGTGGGTGGACGCAGAGCTAGCTGGCTTTGTTTCTACTGGATATAAAAACAAGGGCCTTTGTTTCGCTAGATGTAGCCTTGACAATGACGCGCGACACTGTGGCGTCATGTCATCGCGTGACGTTGTGACGTGATTTGACACCATGGCGTGACGTCATGATATAGCACGTGACAATGTGAGGGCTTTGCATGATCACAAAACCCTCACAACGTACCCTTCAGTGGCCTCTTTACTGTGCCTACGAAAGGACAAACGTAAAGAGGCCCTCTACATACTGCACATTTAGGACGCCTTTGGGAAATGCCGAAGAGACGGCCATTTCTCTTTCACTTGCCCGCATGTCTGTGTTCCATCCTTCTGGGATGGATGGATGAACCTTAGTGGTTGGGCCCTTTGTAACGGACGGTAGCTTGCGCCACTTAACCTTGATTCTAAGAACGACGAGAGTGGTAATGGCCTGTGCCATTACCAGTTTTGCCTGCTGGCAAACCCAGAAGCCCCTAAAATTGGCTAAACATCCGAGTGGATCGGACAAGTTCTGTCTTGGGTCTTTGGAACTCATTTTAAGCTCTCCTCATTTGTAAAAGATGAGCTTGCAGCTTCTGTTGAAGTTGAGACAACTTGATCTGCAACTGAATGGAGAGGCGATATCCTGGGCCGTGTAGAGCAAAGATGCGCAAAGTGGGGGCCGGGTTGTCACGAGACAATGTCTGGGGGTCGCGGAGGCCTCAGAAAGACGAGCTATGGTTATGTACTATTGGAAGGGGGAGGGGTTGTGGGGGAGTGGGAGTCGCTGGACGGTGTTTGGGTATTTTAGGGGAAGAACCTCGGATGTAGATGTTCTTGACTGCTCTCCCTTCATATTTAAATCTAATTCCCAGTGGGTACAAATGTCAAATGTTGTGAAGAAAGATTTTAATGGTTACAAATGCTAGTGACAAAGAAGACATAAAGATATTTCGTTTGTGGGTATTACAAATCTCTTTTCATTTTATAAATACAACAAAAGATAGATGTGTCATAAAAAAAATGTGTTGAATAGCTGTTTTGAGGTAAGGGAAGTGGAACAAGTTATTGTGTACCTATGTGGGTCACATGTGTTTTGCACAGTTTGCCCATTAATTAGTAATTCTGCCTGCAGATGGCGCAGCATTCCTTGAATGTTGTCGCATGGCACAAATGCCGCAGAATATGAAAAGCTTGGAACATATCTGTGTTTAATTAGAGAGTGGTCAGTCAGCAGTCACGGTTCATGGACAAAGCTCATGAGATATTTACAATTTCATACCATGTTTCTTTTTATGATGGCAAGGATGGTGTTTTTGACTCAATAACAGGGTGCTCCCTTGAATCACCTTGTTATTCTTTGTTTCGCTGGTAAACAGGAAATGCATGATGCATTTTGCCTGTCGCACAGCTGGTTTCGCTGTGCAGCTTACGGCCGGTCGTGCGTTAGCAAACAGACTTTCTCCGACACTCTCTTGTTGTTTTTGTAAGCGCAGCGCAACACGGCTGTTTTTCTACCGCTGCTCTACGAGAGAGAGAGAGAGAGAGAGAATGGAGTATGTGCGTGAAATGTAACAATCCCAGTGGTTTCAGCGAAAAAAGAAACGGGCAATTTTTGTGCACGAAAGAGTGAACATTAACTTTTCTAGCCACTTTGTTTCTAAATGTCTGCATGTTTTGTGCCCCTTGCAGTGTGAATGTGTTGTCTCTATACTCGGCGTCAAATCTCTCTTCCTACATATGCAACTTTAAAAACAATTAAAACTCGGAAGGAGTGGGGGACGCCGGTGTATAGGTGGCTGGAATTTCGGTTTCCTTCCCATCTCTGTGTGTACCAACAAACTAAAAAAAACAGCTGGCCACATTCTTCTCATTTGAAGTCAAAGTCAAATTGGATGTTTGATGTTTACACAGGGTAAGGTTGGTCTGCCAGGATGGGGCGACACTGGTTTACACTGTAGATAAGCAATTTTGCCAGTGCAGTACGGCTGCTAACCTGGGGTCTTTAACGTGCTCACGCAGTAGTGATGCACGACCGCACGCCGGTACGATGCTCATCTAGATAGAAACGGGCAGGGGTGGGGATAGAGCCCAGGATCCCTTGATTCTGCAGCGCGAGCTTTCGCTCCACGCGCGTCGAGCTGGGTGTGCGCTTTAGCCCACTCGGCCACCGATTCCCCCTCCTCTTCTCATTTGACTTGGTCTTATGTGGTCTGGGTGTGCAAGTCTGCCAGTATCAGTATCTTCAGTATCAACTGTTCACATGCATTGCGAAGCTATTCCACTGACCAGCTTTTTATGTTGCTCATGCGTACGTCCCAATCTTTGCTTTAACTGTGTTATTTTCATTCATTTTAGAGGGGCTGCACTATTTTTCTTGCTAAGACAAAGCATTTGGAAAAATCCTATGTCACTATTAGACGCATGTGGAGTATACTTGGAGTGAAACATGTAACTATAAGATCAAACTATGTTGATTAGCCTGTACAATGTTGTGGCACTCAATGAGATCTCATTGAACTGTGTTGTCAGCTAGGAACATAGAAAAAATTATTTGTTTGCCAGTGCTTGTAAACAAGCATTTTTGAGTTCCGATGGGGGAACAGTGGCCAAGGTTGTTAACGCACCGCGGTAAGGAGCACGTGGAGCGAAAGCTTGTGTTGCAGAAACCAGGGATTCCAGGGTCAATCCCCCACCCCAGAGCCGTTTATACTGAGAGAGTTTGGCCGATGGGCGGAGCTTGTTGGCCGCTAGAACAAGCGGATTTCGCGATAACACAATATGGCGTTACTTCTTTGTCTTGTTCATTCCTGAGAAATCGCGTAGAGTTCCTATGAGTCAGAGCCACAATATGGCGGACGGAAGTAGTCATCCCCCGGTTGTCAGACTACGCTGCTGTGGTTGTCAGACTGTCAAAATCTCCTTAAGAAGGCCAAACTCTCTCAGTATAAACGGCTCTGCCCCACCCCTGCCCGTTTCGACCTGGACAAGCATTGTACCGGCGTGCTGTCGCATTATTTTCACCAGACGATGAGAGAGGATTTCCAGGCTAGCAGTCTTACTCCACTGGCAAAATTTCTTGTTTACGGCGAAGACCCCAGACGCCCAGAGGTGCCGGCTAACTTCCTGCCGTCTAAACAACCGCACAACACGATCACCGAGTTCCGGTAAGATTCAGCCGCCCGTCCTTTGTCGCAGATACTCCGACTTGATGGTTCATCGCCTCCTCGGAGTCTGCGTGGGAGCCGAGGCCACCTACCCAGATCTCGTTCACAAAAACAAGTGCCAGGTAAACCAGAAACTCGTCTCCCCCCCCCCGAGACGCGTGTCCGCCTCACGGCTCCCGCTTTTGCTTCATCCTAGGAGCTGTGCAACAACCTCAACTACAGACACAACATGGCCCAGTACGCAGGCAGGTCGTCGGTTGCCCTGTACACTCAGGTAGGCTCAAGGCACATCATCCGCTTGACTTGAAGCGCTTTTACGTCGGGTTTGCGCCCATCGATGTGCCCTTCTTCTGCTTGTAACCGTATTCTGCATTGTCCGACGCAATTTACCTGTCTCATGTCAGTAGCAGAATTTGAATTTCTCGTGAGCCGGCACACCTCACCACACATCACTCTGCTCCGGTGGATGGATACGTAACTTTCCACGTAACATTAGCACGGAATGTAACGGCGGTATTTCATGTAACCTATCTTACGTGATTTACTGACGGAACCCGCTGCCCACCAACGCCGGCAATCACACAAATTGCCCGACACGCGTGATCCTCTGGCATTATTTGGTATTGCGGCTCTTAACAGGGGAGCACTGACACATTAAAATCATATTTTTTTTTATCATCCGAAACGATTGAAAACGATCCCGGGACATTACCCTCAGAATTTGAAATTTGGAAATTCAGTATTTGTGAAGTAAAAAAGCTATTTCCAAATGCCGAATTCGAAGTTCCCGCTTGATCCGCGCCGGTGCGTTGATGTCAAATATTGCGGACTCCTGAGAGTTCACTTTCTTTCACGACTCCCGGCTGTTGCCATGGCGACCCAAAGCGAGGAGGAAAGGAGCGAGCGCCGGCGTTGCAGCGGACCGGTTTTGAGCGGTGTCGCCTGTTTTCCGTGGGAGGATACAAATCCAGGAGATGGCACCACCACAACGAACTCCCGATTTTTGGTATTTCAAAAAGAAGGGCCGTAGTGCGTTCGCAATTGCGTTAAAAAACATGTTTTAGGATTGCCGTTATTAAATGTTATAGAGATGTCGCCTACAAAGCTTCTAAATTTCATGATTCTTGACATCGCGAATCAAAAGAAGCGAGGAGGCGAAGGGCGGGAGAATCAAACAACAAAAACAAAAAGGCGCGCGCAAGAAAATTTTTTTTGCAATGCTTTTTTTTTTTGCGTGTTTATGACTGCAACTTGCATCGTTTTAGACAATAAAAAAAAATACGACCTTTGGGGTGTCAGTGCCCCTTTAAGCTTGCAGCAATTATTCTTCCAATTAACATACCTCACCTTTATTGTGGTATAGCACTTTATTTGACCTTACAAAGGACCACAGGGAAAGTCACGAGTCATTTCAGCCGATCCAGTGCTGCGAGGGTATAACGTGACCATGAACACCGTGCGTCACTGCACCTTTCCTTAAAAAGCAACTCCGCTTCATTTTTGGTTTCGAAAAAACAATGCAGTGCTCTTCAGTATCGCCTAGGAAGACCACACGTCAAATATTACGACGCAGTTCTGTCTAAATGTTTCTTAAACGGTCCAACAAACTTTGCAACTCGCCAAGTTGCCGAAATCGGCTGACTCGAGCGGGCGAATTCAAGCGCAACCAACAGTGCAGTCAAGGCTACGGCATGGGCGGAGCCAACATTGAGCTAAACGTCATCATCATGGCCCCCTTTTGCTTGTTTTTACTTCTTCGATCGAGCGTAGCGCATGACGTCAGCAACGTTGCCTCTCGGCGCTCAGCGGTGTCCACGTGATTGGCGTACGCGCCTGCGCAGCGCGCTTCGAGGGAGCAGACCAACCGCCCGCCGTGGTCCCGCCGTTACCGCCGTCTTCCGCGTCACAACCACCGTCGTCGTCTCACCGTTTGTGATTATTGCCTCTCGGAGTTTCGTCCACACTATGGACACCACGTGCGCAGAGTCGCAGACTTATGCCGCAGTTGTGCAGATGTCGTCGAATGCCGTAGACACCAAAACGTGGCGAAGAGTGCGGTGCAGACGACACTCGCGCCTGCCGCACACCCGCCCCCATCCCGCCCGTCGTTGGGCCGAGGATCACGTGACATCTCGTACCACGTGATGGCCATGTACTTGGCGGCCCGAGGCCAATGTTGCCAGACGGAGCCGAAGTTTCGGTTTCGATTTCCGCTCGTGTTCAAAATTAGATTTAAAAATATATATCCCATTTTTCGCGAAGCAGACGACGTAGTGTCTTTTACTAGGGCTTTTCAATTCGAAATCACTCATTATCCCGAAATCTTCGGAATTGAGCGGAGTTGCCCTTTAAGGTCACTTGACGCTCACATGGTATTGAATCGGCTCGTAGCGTTCGCTTCATCGGAACGCAAAGTGTAGTATAGTGGTGAATGTTGGCGATGTAGTTTAGGTAAGTATAGGTATGTAAACGCATAACTACCGCGTCAAATGTCTCATAATATGGCATCCAAACATTAGAGGAGTGCTCTATCCTTACTTGTAGGGTATGAGGCCACACAAGGCTATCTCCACACAAGGCTATGTGTCTGAAGGGCACATAGCCTTTGTCAAGATGGCGGATTGAGATTGCTTCCGTTGCTCCAGATTGAAGGGCTTTTTTTTTGTGTGTGTGCTTTTTGGAACAAACAGACCTTCTTTGTCTTCCGTCTTGCTGGTCGCAGGCCTTCTTCAGGGACAAGGTGCTGGACGAGGAAGGCTACGTGCTTTTTGTGCGAGAGAATGCCCTCCAGGTGCTGATGCCTCGTTTTGGCCTGGAGGCGACCCTGTTTCTCAAGGAAGACGGATGGAGCTACGACCAAGAGGTGACAACCTTTTTTTGGGGCTTGTGGATGGTTCCTGAAGCAGGCGAAGGAAACATTGTCTGCCATTGATCTCGTTGTTCGCTGGGGCTTTGGGTTGCCCTAGCTTCCTCTGTGTCATCTTGTTGGTCTATCTTTACGTCTTTTTGTTGTTCTACTGCAGTTAGTTTGTTGAAACCTTGTCCCAAAGGAACACGGAAGGGATTTTTGATGTTTAGCCTTACGAATGCAAAATGTTGCAGCAGTATCCCAGGCCAGTGTTATAATCAACCAGACAAGGTACCTTTCAACACGAAATGTGTTTTACTAGCTGATTTCTGTAGTAAATTGCGGTTTAATTACATGTTAATACAAGCTATGCTGTGCTGGCCGATGCTTGCCCGATGGCGGCCAGTTCCTGATTCGCTCGAGCTCTCTGCCAGCTCGTGCACATTCTCTTCCTCCATTGTCCGAGTTACCACAATTTCCATGAAGTTTACGCCCATAGGGGACCATATACAAAAAGACCTGTTCACCGGCAGGATTTGAACTCGCCACCTTGAGACTGTGAGCCAAGTGCTTTACCAACCGAGCTATCCAGGGTCGGAGATCGGAGCAAGCAAAAAAAAGGTCATTTGCGGGGCGCGCGGTCGCGCTCTTTGTAGCCTTCTCTGTCATGCCGCACCATTTCACGGCATGTGTCAGAAATGAGAGGGAGTCTTCGCTAGTCACCCAGACTCGAAAAGGTCCGTTGTTACTCAAAAAGGTCCATTAATTGTTTGACCCATAAATTACTTAAACAGTCAACGAGGCCATTGCACTGCGTGCAAAGTGGGAAAGAAGTAAAACATGCACACGACACACCCACCTCTCAGATTCATTTCCGATGAGTCATAGCCATAGCCTGATTAAACCATTGTCGCCTGCTGTGACAGTATGTTTTCCCTTTCTTTCTTTCTTTCTCTCTGTTCTTTTCCCTCTTTGGTTAAATTTTAAGCAGAAGTTTGGCTTTGGTGGTTTCCAGTAGATTTTGAATGAATGAATAAATGTTTATTTTAGACTGTCATGCCGGGGAAGGGGGAGAGGTGGAACAAAATATGGCCTTTCCCACCTAACGAGTCTCCATCCTCTTACCAGCGCTACAACAGCTACAACATAAAATATTTGCGAATGGTGCATTCGAGTTGACTGACTGCTGTGTTGCATCAAAACAAAAAAATGTTTTTGAAAATTCCGTTAAAGTTTGGTACTGCCAATGTCTCATCAAATTGTAGTGTTTTTTAAACAAAAAAAGACAAAAAAAGATTAGATTTCCTTGGAAGCACTTAGGTTCCCTAATTGCTCACAAAAAATTCTAATCTTTTTTTCTTTTTTTTTTCTCTTTTTTTTGTGGTTTTCAGGCAAACACTCAGACGTATGGAGGCGTCACGCTTCGCCAGTTCGACCGTCTGGTGGTGCAGTTGTCGGTGGACAGCCGCAACGTCCAGCACCAGAAGGTGGTCGTCAGATTGGTCGACCCAAAGGTAGGCTCTGCTGTCTTTTTCTTTTTTCGTCTGCAGCCCCGTGGATTTTTGTCTGCTTGAAATTGCATGTGACTCCTAAAGGGCGGCCTACAGAATCGTCTTCTACCGGGCGGATAAACGGTTCCCAGTTCCCTTATCTCCATTTTTTTCTTGCACTCCTCTTTCCTCTCCCCACGGGAGCAGGTCTCTGAGCTAGTCCCAGCGGAAAGGAGGAGAGTCTCCTCCTTTCTCAAATGGAAGGGAGCAATTGAGAGAGTTTCTTTCTTTCTGACTGTTTGTCGGCCTTTTAGTCTAGTTCACACATGCTTCAAAAGGCCCTTAGCAGTCACCGTGGACCTTTTAGTACGGGCTTACCCGCTTTACTGCGGTGCCACAGTCCTCCAGAGTTGAAATAAATTATTATTATTATTAGTATTATTATTATACATCAGCACTACTGTCAGCACTGACTTGGTGCAAAGTTAGATGCATTGTGCGTATAAACAAAGGGAGGGTTCATGTGCATTGGGGCACTAATACGGTGCTGATAAGGCACAAGTCAGCATTTTGTCTACAGTGCTGAGTTGGTGCTGTGGTGTACTAGAGAATAGGCCTTTAAAATTAACTCTCATTACATGATAAATAGTGAATTGACATGGGGAGGAGGGCAGACCTGTCATTTAAAACTACTCTTAATGTGACTGTCGTAAGACTGTCGCACATCACAGGGAAGTCCCAGGGATTCCTACAACATAATAAAATTTCATGGACCTACATTTTTGCTGTCACGCATTGCTTCATCGTGCGGCCTTCCCTGGTGTGGTAGACATTGAAATGACAACAGAAGGCAGTTTGCCGTATGAAACTATCTATAATGTTACCTTGTCGTAAGACTATTACATTATGTCGAAATTGTGGGGATTTTTTCGGTGCATTAAACTTCTGTGTTTTCTCATATTTACGGTCACATGATTCTTTCTTACATGACAGGTGGTGAACTGACAGTGGGTAGCAGTTTGTTATATGGAACAGTGATGTGCAACTCTGTCATGAGACTATATCACATCACATCAGAATGCTGAGGATTCCTTTGATGCCTTAACTTCTGTGTTTGCTCATATATGCAGTCACGCGATTCTTTCATATTTTACAGGTAGTGAAATGACAATGGGTGGCAATTTGTTATATGGAACAGTGACGTGACTGTCATATGACTCTCTCGATTCTCTTGGGCTACAATCCTATGGGGTCAGTCCGTTATGTTCCCCCAAAGTTCTTTTTTCATATCAACTAAAACCTGAAATTGGTGAGGAAAAAGAAACTTTTGAGTCAAAGAAAGAGAGACAGTACGAGACATTCCCTTTCTGTGTGTTTTACTTTTACTAAAGGATTTTTTTTTTCTCAACACGGCATTGGGTCTTGCACGATACGAATAACTAACACCAACTTGTCTGTGCATTCACTGTCTTTTCTTTAAATTATTTTCTGTGTGAGACATCTCGGTATTCCTTATCACTATCTTCACCGCTCTGGACTGCAGCACGCAGTGGGCAGGTGATTGCAATGCAGATTGTAGATAGAGTGATGCGGTTTATTTTGCCCACCTTTGTTTGCTTTTCTACTCCCACGAGCACACCTTTGTTTGAACCTTGGCTTAAGCTTTTGAGACAAAGGGGCCTTCCGAAAACAAGGTGATAATGACTAGAAATTCTCTCTCATTACGCCACGTGTCAACAAGGACGTTATCAAGAACGCAAAAGGAGCACCCGGAGACACGCTTATCAAGGCACAAAAACAAAGGCATCCCCAGATGTCCGGTATCACGACAAATACCAGGTGTGGGGGTCCCCCTGCAGCTGCATTCTCCACACTTCAACAGCAGAATGCGTTAACCTGAAAAAATATGAAGGCCGCGTTCTGCGACGCGAGAGCTAAAAGCACAAGTTTGCACCTTGCAGACTAATTTCATGGTACAAGCTTTTACATGCCGGAGACGAACCAGGACTGTAGTCGTGTGCACGTACGCAGGTGAAGCAAAACAGATGGGTAGGTTGCACAACCCACTCTAGCATGTTTGCACGCTGCGTACTTGCAGACGTTGCTTGTGTATACTTGCACAAGCGGCATGTGCATACTTGCACAAGCAGCATGTGTAAGTATGCACTGTAGTGTGCAACGTTGCATGGCTTGCAAGCTTTCTATCACTGAGTACTACATAATTTGCAAGCTATGTAACATTGCACACTTATCAAATTTACAAGCTGCGCTATGTAGTGTGGAATGACGAAACCTTCGTAAGCTGTGAGCTTATGACACATTACAAGAGGTCCTTGTCGTGAAAATTAAAAAGAAGTCTATTTCTATAGCTTTTTAATATGAAACATTCTTTGGCTAGTTGTCCCGGATTTCGTGAAGCCGTATTAAGTTTCCCGGCTAGATTTAGCTGGAAAGCTGAGGTCATGCGAGCTCAACACCAATTCAGCCCATAATGCGACGCTTGCAGCGTTGCATCATGGGATGTCACAGACCTACACATTAATTCAGTTTCTCCGCTAAATTTAGCGGGGAAGTTAAATTGGTGTATACGTCTGTGATGTCCCATAGTGCAACGCATGCTGTGTTACAAAATGATGTCACATGATATATATACAAAATTAAGTTTCTTCGCTAAATTTAAAGAAAAAATTGACGTCACATGACATGATGTCACGTGAGCTGTACATAAATTCAGTTTCCCCACTAGATTTAGCAGGAAAATTTACGTCGCGTGACCTCGATGGCAAGTCAATTTCCCCATTAGATTTAGCGGGAAAGTTGACGTCAGGTGACCTCAACACCGATTCACTTTCCCCGCTAGATTTAGGGGGAAAACTGACGTCACTTGACCTACATATAAATTCAGTTTCTCCACTAAATTTAGTGGGGAAATTGATGTCACATGACCTATACACAAATTCAGCTTCCCCGCCAAATTTAGCGGGAAATATACATTACGTGACACCGATTGCATGTCGGTGCAGCCACGAGGTGCATCCGTCGCTAAACGCTTGTTATGCTAAAACGTTTCATGCATTCAACAGAATTGCCTAGCAATTTGCCATATATTTTTTACTCTCTCTAGGTCCCAAAAAAATAAATAGATATTTTCGATTTATTATACTTGGAAAATACACTTGAATGCATTGAAGTTTGCATGTCCACAGTTTGTAAGAATTTTTTTAAAAAACTTCTCTTGTTTTCTCTGGATATTTTTTTTTTTGTCACGGCATGAAGTTTTGTTTTTGGTACCTCTGGATGTAGAATTTAAATCTGAATAAGTTATTGTTGAAGTTGAACGCCTCATAGATTCGAATTGCGACAAGGCTAAGCTTTCTGGAGCGTGTTGAATGAAAGGTTTTTCAATTGCCAAAAGCTTTAATGACTAATTTCTAACTATTAGTAAAATGATTTCAATGTGCAATAACTTTTTCTTTGAACGATCCTAGAATTATAAGGTGGGTTTTTGTCGTAGACTCTGATGTTTGTGGAACATATAGACATACTTTGTGCATAGTTTTTGATGTGGCCAAGGTGTTCAGGGGCCTTTCTAATATACTTGAGATTGCTTGGAAACTATAATCAATAAGAAAACAATAATCTTGTTGTGCTTGCTACCTAAAATTACGATAGGTGCGAGAATTTCATTTATACAGGATGAATAACAACGCAAAAAACATTCAATAAAGAGAACCCTGGCAGCACAACAAAATTGTTTTTGTCTGTGTGCTAGGACAACAGCCAATTAAATTCATGGTGTAAGGCAGTGCTTTTGGTTGAAAAAACAGAGTGCCAAACTAAAACCAGATCCCTGGATGACGCTATTCCTTTTAATAGAAATAGGCAGGACCGAGATGGTTTATCACACTTCTCAAATATTCAGTTTTTTTGCTTTTAAAGAAAAAAAGAAGCAGCCCTGAGCGACTGATTCGAAAGAATTTTGCTTTTGAGATGCAGATTTTTATTAATATTATTGAGTCCCTCTGTAAAAATCTGGACATACCCTCGTAATGAAAAAAACCCGAGACTGGAAATAAATAAAAAAACGAACAGCCACAGGTACTGTCTCAAGAACGCAGAGGAGCCTCTGCGGAGACGCGTACGCTAATCAAGACTCAAAAACGAAAGCGTCCCCTGATGTCCGGTATCATGTCAAATACAAGATGTGAGGCCCACCCTCAGTGGCTGCATGTGTGATTGTCAGTTATTTTTATTTTTTTGTAGTCTTGGGTTTTTCATTATGAAGTTAATTTAGAAGCTTGCCTGCATTTTTTTTTTGTGTGTGTTTTTTTTTTCTCTTTCATACATATTTTGTCAGCACCTCTGTATGCACTCCTCAAGCACCCTTAATCTGCGGCCATTCTGTGCGTCGTGATTAGGTATGCTTGCCTCGAATGTGCCCGTGAGATCATTTAGTTCCTTTTTCCTAGCTTGCGTCACTTTATGTGCACCGCTTTCTTGCTAAATGTATATCAACAATTGTAGGCTTTTAGCAGGCATCGTTGTATGCAATGTGTACGTGGGCACTTTAGAAGTTCTCTCAGCCCTCTATTTTACGTAAGCTTTGTGCCTGTGGACACTTAGGTTTCCGTTAACATGCCAAGCTCTGTGCGGGCCGTGTTATTTTATCACGTTGCAGGCAGTATTAGTTGGCTGTGCCCCACTTGATCCATGCTGTGCAAACTTGGCACTCAGAAGGCTGGCATTCTTGCCCAGCTGAAGGACTTCCTTTTCGTTCCCATCCTATCAGTAACTATAGTTTATATTCCCTGTCCCTATGGTTCTTCCCCCCCCCCTTCTCTAAGACAGTTTTGAATTAATCTATTTATTAGGATACCTACGTTGCCTCGAGAAACATTACAATAGGGTGGTCACGTACACAAAAAAGAATAAACTGCACATTACAACAAAATACGAAAGTAATCGTAGATAAAACTGCAATTCGCAAAAGCGGAAGTGTTAATGAGATGGCACATGAGTAGGCA